GTGGTTACAGAGAATGAGTATTAACTATAAATAACAACTTTAAATTCAACAATCCTGACTAAGATGTTTATAAGGGATATGAGTACCATATACATAAAATTAAAAACCATAACAATATTAATATAAACTGTCGTCAAATTTTGTTGAATTTAGTGAACACGGATATGTGTAACCGTAGATTATGAAAATCGCTGATTACGGCTTCCTCTTTTTATTTTACATGTTTAAAATATTTTAAAAGTTAAACGACATTCAAATAAGATAATTGTATTTAAAAGCTTCTAGATTTACATGGATACAGTTACAGTATTGAAAGAAATATATCCATAGATTCATCACATGATAAACATCAAGTGAACAGAATATTTAATATAACTATAAAAACGATAACTTTGTTTACGGCTATATTCACCATTTCATATTGATGCATTTGATAAAAGATTGTTTTAGACAGCCTTGAAGAAGTTATTAAATATCAAAAGTATGAATTAATTATAATTTTAACAATTTTAATGAACAAAAAAAGAACACATAAGCAATTGTACTACAATACCGAATCGAACATGAGCAATTGCGAAAGGGGAAAAGGTTAATGTTTAACTGCTGTAAAAATTTGAAACGAAAAACATATTATCACTTTATCATTAACGAGCATAGCATTTGAAGTGGATGAGATAGTAATTTATAAGTGTTATACGATACAAGTATTTAAAGGCTTTCATGTGTCACAGTATGATAGAATAAACCTTTATATAATAACTAATGAAAATGTCCACTGAATAAATGCAATTCAAATTTATAAATTGTGATCAAAACGTTAATCAATATTTTATATGTCAGTGTAATGCGACTGTCATACAAGTGAGAGATTTAACAAGCTATAAAACCAGGTTTAATCCACCATTTTATACATAATGAAATGCCTGTACAAAATCAGGAATATGCCAGTTGTTTTCCATTCGTTTGATGTGTTTAAGCTTTTGATTTTGCTATTTGATAAAGAACTTTCCGATTTGAATTTTCCTTGGAGTTCGGTATTTTTGTTATTTTACCTTTTTTATATGAGTATACACTTATAACTTATAAACTATGACCAATGTAAGTCATGTTACTTAGCGGCATGTTTTGCCTAATTAAATAGTTAAAAAGTAGATTTACGTGTAGGTAAACGACAAACAATGTATTTGGTTTTATGAATTACAATCAAACCATAAAGGTTATGTTCATTCTTATCAAGACATCTATAAAGACAGATTGCTTGAGCTTTTGCTTTTGTACGCTTTAATAAATGAATCATTGTTAACAGTTTTTTTTTGGTGTATCTTGACTAATTAAATTACAACTAAGGTTATATCCCCTTGACAAAGATGATATACCGTGGATTTATTTATTTCTCTGGGTACCAATTTTCGTGGATTGAGGAAAAAATGTATATTCGTAAAATTTCGTCGTTGTCTGTTTCTCGCGGTTTTTCGAAAGTCTGCATACGAACCTATAGATAATTAGTAATTCGTTAATCATTTAAATTAGTGGTTCACATGCATCCACGAAATCCACGAAAATTTGTAGCCCAAGAATAATAATGAATCCACGGTAAGTATAAAAATTAGCAAATTTCACATGGTTCATTTACATTGAGATTATTTTACCCCACCATTCAGTCATGGTCCATTTCCTTTGAAAATTGTGCTTACTTTACAGGTAAAAGTTTTTGATTAAGTCAGTTTAACATGTTTAAGGGAAACCACTAATGATAGGTCAATCTCATTTGATATGCAGTTGTATTAACTCTCCATGATGACTTTATGGCTCCGGCCCTTCATCATGGCTCATTGACAACACTGTTTCATAGCTTACCTGTTGAAGTTTGTGTTTATGTCAGTTTAGAGGGAGCCACTAATAATAAGTCAAAGGCATTTGGTATGCATTATTTTTATTTGTTTATAATTTTTTGTTTCAATTTCAACTGAGAGATAATCTATATACACAAACTTATAATACAATAATACAATAGTATTCCAAAGTAACAGCTATACATGCTTTGTCTATTCAAAAATCATTTTAAGATCATACGTATTGTCGTGAAATAAAATCGGACAATAGAAAGACATCTCATGTATTTATAATTGTTTTGCCTTATAAATAGATAGTTTAGCATGTTTAGATAGTCAACTATCATTTATCCATAGTCATTTTTCATAGATAAAGTGATTAACTTGTAGATCGTTGTGTTCCATTCTTAAAAAAACAAATATCATATGACTGCCTTTATTTTAACCCAAGGGTGACTGGGGAATAGCAATATGGTCTCTCTTGGTCTTCTTCCGACCGGCAGTAAAATCCTTGCTTGAATGAGGCATCCGTTTGGTTGTGTGGGATGAACAAGTACGCAGGAACGTCCTGTCAGAATGGAGACGGTAAATCCGATGCCTCGTGTAAAGAGAGTGCCCATCCTGTTTGCACGTTAATAACCCTTTCTCTTAGACGGGTCCGTAGGTGGACAGTTGCAAGGCAAAATTTCTTTCCCTATCAAATATACCTTCGTTTTCCAGTGGTTGTCCAAATTTCCCCGACCTTGTAGCCGGACGGCCTCTATTAGAGGACCTACCTATTGTATGTATTGTTAATTTATTCTCGTCCAGAACATGCATGAAATATTTACCACTGGACCTTAAGCAACCAGTAATTAATCAATCATTTTTGGTCAGTAGATATGTACATATTTTATGACACTACACAAGAGAGAAACGAAATAAAAAATAAAATTTGGAATATTGGTTTAGTAACAAACTGATCAAGCTAATGAAAAATAGCGGGTGATATAGTGTTACACAATATTTGTGAATGCACTTTATTACTTCCCTTCCTGTATAATGCATCCAACCAACTAGTGGTCATTATAAAACAAAATACAGTTACTCCCCTCTTATCGTGTTCCTTGAGACAGATCTAGACGACTTTGTGTCTGTCTTCTCATTTATTGCAGGAAAATGGTAAATAAACAGTTATCAGCTTATCTAATTTATAAGCTTGTTTAATACTTTCAATAGCACCAACAGAAGAAGGGTTGTTACCATTAGTTTACATGTATATACATAAAGTACTTAATAAGAAAAATAACGTAATTTTTATAACAAGCAGATTCATTATTTCCAAAAAATATAGCTTTTGCCAAAATGGGTAATTTTATGTCACAAATGTTTTTCATCAAATCTTTCATTTCAAACTATAAATTTTTGGAGGAAGTGCAATCCCAAAATAGATTTATGTTAGTCTTTCTGACTTCTGTACATAAATTTCAAAACTCTGTTGCAGACAGTTAACACACGTATAGAAGTCAGTTTGTGTATAAAACAGTAGATTAAATCTATATAGGAAATTAATAAGTTTTATATTTGGTGCACTTGAAAAGTACAGAATGAATTTGTTTAAACATATTTTATTGTTTAAAAGTACAAACGGATTTTCTACACCAGGAACAGATTACCTTAGCTGTATTTGGCAAAACCTTACGAAATGTTGGGACCTGGTTGCTCTTCAATTTCCTACTTTATTTGGCTTTTTGAACGTTTTCTATTCGAGCCTCACTGATGAGTCGTTTGTCGACGAAACGCGAGTCCGGTGTACAAAATTTTAATCGTGGTATCTGTGATGAGTTTGATTAGACTCAAGTTTTTCAACTTAGTAACGTCTTCTCCAATGAGAATGAATTGCTTTCCAATCTTCTTTAAGTATGTCTAGATTCAGATCATTTGGCCCTTTTTCATGCTGTTTCATAGGCTAAAATATAGACAGCGATACTGCTGTATTATTTGTTTTTCATCACAAATTCAATGTTTCACATGCAATAACTTTTTTTAACTTTCCTTTCCCATAATCTCATCTTCCAGCTTCTGTATGAGCATTGACATTTAAAAACATGTTATTTGACACTGTACCTTCAGTCGTGTTGCATTGCCTTTGAATGTTTTGCATAATTTACAGATTAATACTATACTATAAAAATTACATAATGGCGAGATATATCTCTGTGTCAATAGTGTATACTGAGCTGCATTTAAAATTCAGCTGTATGTTAAAATAACCACAAGAATCTATTTAGATAAAAGCAAATCAATCGTTTTTAATTGATTTTTAATTTAAAAAAAATCATTTTTCTTAATATTCATACTAGTGTGTAGGATCCTCCTGAATAGAAGTTCATGAACCTCTTTATTAGAAAATAAATACTTTTCAAATCTATTTAAACTGTATATAAAAAAAATAAATATCTGGAAAGAGGAGATATTATTCAGACAATTATCTAATAAAGACTTAAAACTGTAAAGGTCATTACATAACGCTGATTTATTGATATTTCCTTTACTTTCTCTGGGAAATATGTCATGCATTCCCAGGACGAGATGAAAATTAAAAGTTAAACTTGAATTGGATGGTACGTTAATATGAGACATACCATATGCCTTATGTTTTTTGCTCTTTAGTCGGGTTGTTGTTTATTTGACACGTTCCCCGTTTCCATACAAGAATAACAAGAATATAGTTGAACCATTATCCTATATCTTGAGTTAAAATATTCAAAGCCCCCTTTTTCAGCGTTAGACGAATACAAAAAAAAGCGAAAAATGAATTAAACAACAATAATGAGACATATAAGTAAATAAGATATGGACTTTATTTTGTATATCAATTCATATAACAGCCAAAATTTCAGGATTGAGACAGGTTTGAATTTCCACTATTATACTTTCTGACTTTTAACCGGAGATGATCAACCCAATGCACTTTAATTATTTTAAGTTTTAAATGACGACATTTGTTTTGTTCTATTTTGATTGTAAGAGGCGTAACTATTTACTCATGCTCGATTAACTATTTGAAAAAAGATCCGCAACTAAAAGATCTACACCGGGTTAATAAGTTGTAAGTTCAATTAGTATGCAATTAGATACCCTATATGAAATGAGATGGTCTCGGGTACCTAAGTTATTTATTTGACGTTGAATAACGAAAAGTTTTGTAATTACTCAACCATATTTCTGTTTTAGTTCTTGTCATATCATATATATGGTTATTCCGCCAAATAAATGTATAATGGATTACAAATTCTGGTCAGCTAGCTATGGAACAATTTGGGTTGTATTAATTAAAGTAAGCTGTATAAAGATTTAATATATAATTTGTTTTTATAAATATGTGACAAATTTGCTCTAGTCTGTAAGTAGATCATGGATACCAAGATATACACGTGAAACATTGTATCATTTATAAAAGTCAAAATTGGGAATCAAGCATATTTAATTAATCTTGAATCGATTATGAAAAAGGAATAGTTTATAAATAGCTCAAAAATTAATGACTACATTTATTTCTAAACTTTTTAGATTATTTGTTTAAATACCATGAATAATTCTTTAGTTGATTATTCATTACAAGGAACTAAATGATCTGTCTAACATTTATTTCTTTTAACTTCATGTAGTACACTAATATAAAAATGCTTTAACATGAATAACGTGTTTCAATGTGTCGGTATCAAAACGCCATTTAATTTTCATATTGATACTTATTTCAATCATTATGTTTTAAGGTAGTTTTATGTGATCTCCCGAATTAGACTATTTACCGGATTTGTAATAACATAAGCAACACGACGGATGCCACATGTGGAGCAGGATATGCTTACCCTTCCGGAGCACCTGAGATCACCCCCCCCCCCCCCCCCCCCCAGTTTTTGGTGGGGTTCGTGTTGCTTAGTCTTTAGTTTTCTATGTTGTGTCATCTGTACTATTATTTGTCTGTTTGTCTTTTTATTTTTGGCCATGGCGTTGTCAGTTTGTTTTCGATTTATGAGTTTGACTGTCCCTCTGGTATCTTTCGTCCCTCTTTTAAAATTTTGAAATCACAATTTATTTTTTGTTGGCATAATTGCTATGGCATGATATATAACACATGAAATGACTGCTGTTCTCGTGAAAACTATGTTAATGCAATATTTCGAACTGAGAACTAAAATTTACAAACTGAAAATTCAACATGTTCAAAAAGACACATGAAGATTTAAAAAAAAAACACCACTTAGAATTAAAATTTAATTGTATTTTTGAATTATCAATGTATGTTTTTTTAAGTTTTTTATTTTCAAGTGCATGTTTATAAAGTTGTTTTTTCACACATGTTTTATATTCCGTGTTTTTTTTCAATCTCGGGGTGTAGATTTTTGACAAAAAATGGATTTAAAAATGGTTTTGACAAGAACGACTTGCAATTATTCACAGCTAGATAAACGAGGTGGTAAATTAAATTGATTACTTTCTCACTTATTTCAGATGATATTATTACAGAATTAACGGAATTAACGTCAATGATGGCGGAGTCAGTTGCTTTAGAACATACTGAGACGCAGGTATTATAAACATGTATTTTGATTTACTATTTTACTAATTTAACATTGAGATTTTAAAAGTTAAAATCAAACAAGACAAAAGCTTTAATCTACGGGTCACCAAACATGTTGCTGGTATATGTTAAATCAATGGAACGATTCAGATATTTTCAAGCCATTTACGAGGACGCTAGCATGTTAATTGTAATTTACGAGGACGGTAGATGACCTTTCGCATTGGTCCAATCAAACATTATGTTTTTCAAAAGAAGTATATGTATGGTCATATTGATTTGAAATTTGCAATCACAAGGTCTTAGAAGCAAATTCAGTTCCCTAAAAAAGAAAAAAAAAAAAACAATTATGTCATGCCTTCAAACTGTATAATATGATGGATTTCTACAAATACTTGCATGTGATTGGTCTATAAGAACTATTTTCTTTGCTTTACACGTTGATCGGCTATGTTGGCAGAACTAATTCCGTTACCTGTGTGGACAATGCGTCAATTTCACAGTGACATATTTATGAACTCTACTTTCCACGTATAATGTACAATGTAAAAAATGTTTAGGTTGGGAACCAGAAGGATAAAAAAACAATTTTGTATTATCTCTTTGACTTTTATTCGTTTTTATGTGTGTGCATCGGCCTACTTTACACATCAAAAACTTGTGTTTAATCTTATAAGATAGTCAACCTATCGATTAACAATAAAACGCTCACAGTATCAGTATAGACGTCTTTAACCAACAGGTAAAATATATAATAAATTTGATACGATAACAAACCCTAGCTTTCCCATCTATAATATCATTCACTCTTTTTTTTCAATATAGAAGTAAAAATGAAACTTAGTCAGAAATTGATATATCGACCATGTACGACGTTAGAAATCCACCACGTTTATATTTGAAATATTCAACGCAGTTTAAATAATAACATTAACGGTTCCGATGTTACTGCTAGATATTGAAGTAATGCATTAGTTGTATCCCCGGTTCAAACCATAACTGTTTATCATAATTTAAAAGCATCTAATTGGAAAACATAATCTATCTCATTTAATTTTATTGAAGCTTATGCTTACATTTTTACCCTCAGTCATCTGGTGAGTTGACAGTTATCTCAATTTGTGTGTTCTGTCCTTCAAAAAATGGATGGTTAACCTTTGAACGCTTGATTCGATATAATAAATGAACGTGATATTCATCAGTTCTGAAACAGAAAACAATTTAGAGAAACGGGGCCGAGTTGTACACATGCTATGTCTCATTTTTTCAAGTTCCTGTTATTATTAACGTTGGGCATGGTGTTAACACGGTTGGCAGATAATTCCATAATTTTAAAAAGTCTTTCGCGATGCAATGTTCTTTTGAAAAATCGTCTACAAGAAATAATTCGCAATGCTTTTCAACATGAAAATGGTAGCATACGCTATACATTTATTACTTTGGGAAACCAAACGGCATATTTTGTTAATAGTGAACAAAAAGGTAAAACATGCTACACATAGGAACAAGTGATCAGTATGCTGGAGTTTCTTATTGACAACATAAGTCTTTTTGGCGGTAGACTTTTTCAATAAATTGTCGGCATTCCTATGGGAACGAACTTTGCGCCTTTCCATGTCGACCTCGTCTTATTTTCATATGAGTCGGAGTTCCTCCAGACACTTGTCAAAAACAAGAAGATCAAAGAAGTCAGATCATTTAATTTCACATTTAGATATATTGGTGATGTTCTTTCCATTAACAATTCAAACTTTTCTGATTGGGTACAAATAATATATTCTCCAGAACTAGAAATTAAAGAAACAACAGACACGGCTTCCTCTGTCTCATTTTTAGACTTATACCTCGAATTTGAAATAAGCGGTCATCTCAGTACCAGAATCTATGACAAACGAGACGATTTTAATTTTGAAATTATCAATTTCCCCCACCTTAGTAGCAATATACCAACTTCACCTGCATATGGGATATACATTTCCCAACTCATTCGGTATTCAAGAGCTTGCAGCTGCTACTCAGACTTTATAAAAACGTCACCAGTGTCTGAGCAAAAAGTTTATGAACCAGGGTTATGTGAAAGAAGGTCTCGTCCATTTTCTAAAAAAGTTCATCGGAAGATACCAAGACCTTGTTGATAAATATTCCGTATCAACTTCACAAATTATACTTGATGGTCTTGAAGTATAGATTCTAGGTACTGACGTTGTTTATCATCTTAATTACGTGCTGTAGTGTTCTTTTATTTGTCTTTGTAAATTATTACTTTTACTGTTTAGTCTATTTTTGGTAATATCCCTTTGACGTGGCTCGGTACTTATGCATCCCGTCATTGTGTCGTTGTACTATGGTAAATTGTTGTATTCTTGTCTGTCGTTTTTGCTTATTTGCTTTGTCTATATGCCTTTTTGTTTTTCTTTAATGACATATTTGTTTGTTTTTTAAGTGATTAAGATTATAACACAATGTTGACTGCTGTACCCCTATTTTGACATGTTTACCTTGTATGTCTGTTTTTTTTTCACACATTGTTGTCAATATAATGGAATTGTATACGACTGTCATACAAGTGAGAGGTTCAGCTAGCTATAAAACCAGGTTTAATCCACCATTTTCTACATAAGAAAATGCCTGTACCAAGTTAGGAATATGACAGTTGTTGTCCATTCGTTTTTAGACAATTCGCTTGCAGTCAATTCAGTACTCTTCAGTCGCTTTTTAGACCATTCAGTATGATGTTGTACAGGTAAGTAGCCTGAACGGATCTTAATTAAACACAAGCGCATTGTCTGAACAGTACTAAATTTATCGCAGTGGGAATAAAATTGAGAATGGAAATGGGGAATGTGTCAAAGAGACAACAACCCGACCATAGAACAGACAACAGCAGAAGGTCACCAACAGGTCTTCAATGCAGCGAGAAATTCCCGCACCCGGAGGCGTCCTTCAGCTGGCCCCTAAACAAATATATATACTAGTTCAGTGATAATGAACGCCATACTAAACTCCAAATTGTACACAAGAAACTAAAATTAAAAATAATACAAGACTAACAAAGGCTAGAGGCTCCTGACTTGGGACAGGCGCAAAAATGCAGCGGGGTTAAACATGTTTATGAGATCTCAACCCTCCCCCTATACCTCTAGCCAATGTAGAAAAGTAAACGCATAACAATACGGAATGTATGTTTACCAACTTGAACTCACAACAGCATGATATAGAGACCAAAGTTACTAATATGATAATCTTCCAATCAGACGGCAACATTTATGAACAAAAACGATTCCTGTAATTTTATACATTCCAATCATTAACATATTTAATTTGTGCTACCTAGATGTCAACAAATTTCTCCAATGATAGACAAATATCTACGTGTGTACATTATGTAAAGCTCCAAACCATACTTAATCAAGAAAAGACTGGAATTCATTTAAGACCGGCTATCAATAGTTAATATTTTTTGGTCTTCCTCGCACATGCTTTAAATATGAGCGTGCTTTTTTTTCCGGTTATATGTGCAGTTTTATTGAATGCCCGTTGCATGTATTCCATTGACTGTGTAGCCCAGTCTTCAGAACGTCAGTGTTGACATGAATTATTATTGATAATGGTCATAATTATGAATTAATCGTTGACAAAACTTTGACAGTTTTCGAAGTACTAAGAATTTTCTGATCCAGAAATAGATTAGCTTACTTTATTTGGCATAACCTTTGGAATTCTGGGTCGTCAATGCTCTCGAGTCTTTTGTAGACAAAACGCACATCTGGCGTACAAGTTTTTAATCCTGCTATCTATGATGAAATTGAGAATGGAAATGGGGAATGTGTCAAAGAGACAACAACCCGACCATAGAGCAGACAACAGCCGAAGGCCACCAATGGGTCTTCAATGCAGCGAAAAACTCCCGCACCCGGAGGCGTCCTTCAGCTGGCCCCTAAACAAATATGTATACTAGTTCAGTGATAATTGACTTATATACATTTCTCCAATATAACAGCACTTGCATTGTTTGAATTGAACTAAATGCTGGTAATCATACCTATTCATATTTTATGAACAGGAAATTCAAGGACATGCAATATTAAACGGAAGGCTCTCAGAATATGTAACATTCCACGGCTACAGCGCTTCATATATACCTGACATAGGTATGGTTAATACTAATTATAGGTCACGTAATGCAAATAACATACCTTAAATAGGACAATCAGAAGTTTACTGTATAGATCATATTGATTTTATACTCTCAAACGTTTTAACTAGATTTTCTACACTGTTAGTTTCGAGAGTACGTGAAGAAGAGTATGTGCTCATATAGGCTGTCACGGTAAAACTTCACAGTTCGCACGCACATTAAAGACCCTCTTCGTTAGAATTAGTAGAGTAATTTCTTAACTACATCATGTACATGATAAAAATATAAAAGACAAATGTTAAGGCCAAAAAAGGAACGAATTGAAGACATCAGAAGTTTTTTTTAACTCTACTGGATTGTAATGTGTGTATATAGGACGTTATACATATATATTATTTTGTTTTGCTTATGTCCTTTTGATACTCGCAGATGTTTGATATTTTTTGCCATCGCAAATTTTTTTGTTTCGACTATAGAATTTTAAGTTATTTCAGAAGTATGGGTCGAATGCGTTTTATTACAATTCATGGGTAATAACGTTTAATACCAACGTTTGTTTTTTTTTTTTCTTCGACTCATTTGTATTTGATCACTACTTTAATATTTTTGTTCAGCAATGTTAAACATTTTATCGATATATTCGCTGGTTTCCATGTAATTAACATGGGTTTTAGAAAAGAATCATGCAAGATAGCATGCACTGACGTTATATCTGAACGATACAAAATACCATATTTACTAAAATCAATACCAAAACTATTTCCTCTTCTATTTCCGGAATGCTGTTGTAAATCAAGACCATTTACGAACCCTGTTGGAAATATGCAAACAAGCTTTAACTAGTACTATGGATACGGTACTGATATCATTTTGACCTCTTGAAGGCGTTTAATGAGATAAGGTATCATATACAGAGTGCATATCTAGTATAACATAATTTCAAAACTGATAGCTGTAATATTTTAGTAGCTTTAAATCAGTTCAAAACATAAAGTACCTGAAATGCATGTTGCTTTTATCATTAACACTCTTACAATCTTATAAAATTTATTCTTTATTCTTACATACAATTTTCATCACAGCAAAAGATGTTGACAAACTTCCAGTTGTGATTAAGGATGACACAAATAAACCCGAAGATCTTAGAACCGTAGTCAACGAGTTGGAAACGGATCAAGTTGTAGTAGAGATTGACAATGACGGAGACAAAAACGAAACAATTAGAAAAGATGATTTGATATTGTCTGATGGTGCACAAACAGGTATGACATTTTGCCTTCTTTGAACTTAATGTTTTGCGCCATATGTTTTTAAGGCGTAAAAACATATATTGCGCCAACATCGCACACTCCGAATGTTGACATTTAACGCCGAATTGTTTTCGTTTTGTTTCTGGAAAAGTTGGTTGTAGTCAAAATAGTATACACTTATTTACTGGCTATGATGACAATAGCGAGTCTATTGTCCCTACGAGATACCAAATATTTCCAGACGCTAAGCGAATGTCGAGGGGAACAATAAACTTGATAATGTTCAAATAGCCAGTAAAGGAAAATGGTATTTATTTCGAGACAGTGCATGATTATTTTCATTTGTTTATTTGAAGCGGACTACATAAGAACTCGAAGGTATATTCTTTATTGACGTCATCAATAAAGCTCTACGCAAACGCATTGTAGCCTTCAAAAGCAAGGTTATTTACGATCACAAATGACCATTCGGTCAATGCATTTTGAATACGTAATAGAATAGTTGCATACTTATATTTATTTTCGACGTAAGAGTCTGAATGTCCCTCTGGTATCTTTCGCCTCTCTTTTGAAGCATAATCAATTATTTGAAAGTCTCGGGAGACGAGTCAATTTAAACGATACAGAATGAACGGTAAACTCTTTTCTTCCATTAAATAGTTCACATCCAGTACTCATGTGTTTGTCTAATGTGACCTACCGAATAAGACTTATAACCGGGTTTGTACAACATGAGCAACACGACGGGTACCACATATGGAGCAGGATCTGCTTACCCTTCTGGAGCACCTGAGATCACCCCCAGTTGTTGGTGGGGTTTGTGTTGCTCAGTCTTTAGTTTTCTATGTTGTGTTTTATGTACTATTGTTTGTCTGTCTGTCTTTTTCTTTTTTAGCCATGGCGTTGTCAGTTTATTTTCGACTTAGGAGTTTAAATGACCCTCTGGTATCTTTCGCCTCTCTTTTGTTAACTAAAAACTTCATTACCTACAGTGCATGTCTACATAAATCATATGCTTACCTGCCTATATAGGAATCTTGACAAATATGATTGGTTAATTTTATATGTATTAGGTGCTGATGGTTATTTCGAAGTTAACATTCGTGGAAGTAAATCAGCAAACAAAAAGGTAAACTATCCTGTAATTGATTGACAGGTATGATTACAAAATGGAACTGTAACAAATTGGACGTAAGATAATTTCTTTAAGTTCGGTTCTCAATTTAATTGTAAACAATTTGAGAAATCGTTTGACAATAAACTGACGGGTGATTTTGTTGTACATGCCACTTTCAGCAATGTTGTGCTATTTCGTTGTGGTCGGTATTTATTGATATAGGAAGGTTGAGTGCTCAGAAAGAACTACCGACCTTCGGCAGGAAAACTGATAATCCTAGTCAATTAAGATTGGAGTCGAAAACACCTGCCAGGTGCGGGATTCGAACTCACAACCTCAGTGTTGACATGCTAGTTATACAGTATATCGACTACTCAGACCACTCGGCCATCGAGGCCACCGAAACAAAAAAGAACTGACATATCAGTGGAAAAAATATTATAATGCATGTCTTTTGTAATTTTTATCATATTGAACGATAATAAAAAGGTTTTTTTGTATGGATAGAATGAATGGCTTTTTGATGAACGGTTTAAAAAAGATATAATCGAAAATGATAAAACAAATTACTTTGAAATCCACAAATATGCATAACACAAATTTTGAAGTTAAAGAGGGTAGATATTGATTCATGAACTAATCCTCCATAACTGGAAATTTCTCCAATTCAAAAAGCGGTTGTAGATAAAGCAGATTTTTTTTATATAGTCTTAAAAACAAAAAAAAAACCAATGTTTTAATACCAAAAATACTGGCATTAAGTTATGAGCAAGTCACAAAACCAGAGGTGAAACTGAGCATTGTCATTTGTAATTCAATGAGATAATTAGCCCCAGTTGTTCGAAAACATTGGTTATATATGAACGGTAAATGTTTGGCTCAATATCTTTTAAAATAACGCTTAATGATCACATTTTGAGCAGAAGACAAGCAGTTTTCTTTTCAATTGCATATTAACTAAGAGACATATCTGTAGTCAAAACTACAATACGGTAGCTCTTATACCAATAATGGCTTTAAAATGAACATTTGAATGATCTTTGAATATAGTTTAAATTGGCACTAATATCGATTTTGTCATCAACAAATTAAAACTGTAAATTTGTATTCTTTTCAAACGGGATGTATAAAGACACACCCACGTTCATTTCTATCTATTAAGAGGTTAACTCCTAACTATCCTAATGCCTGTCGATACATTTATTTTTGCAATTGCACAAGTCATGTCTTCTTTGACTCTCCATGACGTTTAACTACTAAATCTCTGGGATGTGTTTTAGTTGATTTTAGTCTCTGATGCATGATTTTTTATTATTAATTGTTTTTTGGCTTTTAACTAGCTGTCAGTAACTGCGAGTACTCTTAAATCGTACTTTCTTGTTAATTTGACCTGTTGATACTATTTGCAATGTTTTTTTGTTATTTAATGTTTACTTATCCAGGGTTATATCTGGTCTATATACCAGCTTTGATAAGTGTTTGATATATCTATAAATTTTCACTTCTTCGAACTATGAACATCAAAATTATGTATTTTGTAAAAATATTTCCTTTCTCCTTTTAAACTGTATACCTAACAACAAAATTATTTTCATTTACCTGTGTATAATATTATTGTAAATGACGGATTTTTGTTTAAATTTATTGTTGATTTTCTGAAATTGTTTAACATTTCACAGCGGTATAATACTGTTACTTTAACTATTCATCCCTTATTTTATTGATTTTGTATTTACATTGTATCATAGATCAAATTTGTTCGTTCAGTGTATGTTCACTTGTGTTAATATTTCTTTTGATTGAGTTAAGCCATTTCAATTGATATTGTATAGTGTTTCTTTCTATGTTGTGATGTTACACTATTGTTTCAGATAAGGGTGAAGGTTTGGTACCATTTAAACGTTTAAACCCGCTGCAATTGTTTGCACCTGTCCTAAGTCAGGAATCTGATGTTCAGTAGTTGTCGTTTGTTGATGTGGTTCATAAGTGTTTCTCGTTTCTCGTTTTTTATATAGATTAGACTTTTGGTTTTCCCGTTTGAATGGTTTTACACTTGTAATTTTTGGGACCTTTATAGCTTGCTGTGCGGTGTGAGCGAAAGCTCCATGTTGAAGACCGTACTTTGACCTATTATGATTTACTTTTATAAATTGTGACTTGGATGGAGAGTTGTCTCATTGGCACTCATACCACATCTTTTTATATTTATTGACCATCGTATGTAACTTGTATAGGTAATAACATTTCTTAATGAATAATTGACCCATCAGCTAGTCCTTTTATTTACCTTTCTTCAATAGATCAAAGTGTTTATTTGGCGACCAATACAGGAGGACAACCAGAAAAAGGAGGTGCCATTTAAACCCTCCTTGTATCTCATTATTGACAGTCCAGAAGAAGACGAAAATGTTAATAAAATATCACTTATGGAAGAGATCATTGATTTTGCAAGTTAGTATATGGAAGGACTTTCAAAGTTACGAGAACGAAATGTTTGATAATGATATTTCTGTTTTGAAACATTTTTAAAAAAGTTTTATATGTTTAAATTTCATTACAAGATAGTTTTAATCTTTAAATTCATTGACAAACAAAAAAAAGTCATGCCTGAATTCATCTTATGTAGCGTAAAATATAAATAACAGGGTGCGTGAGGTATACATGGAGTAGCCAACTCAAAATATAACAATGTAAACCATTCAACATGTCATTTCCTCTATATTGATACGAATCAACTGAATTTGTTATGAAACAGTAAAAAATAAACTGTTCCAACAAATTTCTAAAATCATATATTGACGAAATCAAACGTACAATTGTAAGTGAATATGTTATGAAACTGTCAAACGTTCTCAATAAATGAAACAAAATCGTTTTTAGAAGAAATAATAAATAAATACATGTATCCTTTGAACTTTAAAAAACTGTTGATCCTTCTTTGTAGATCCAAAGAAAAGGCAATATATGCCTCTTAATACTGAAATGTAAAGTATAGGACACATTCACAGCATAAAAAGATACAAACAAATAATGGTAAAAAAAAAGATTGTTTTTATATAGATTATATGAACTGATACAAGACTAGATATGTTTTGCTGTCTAACATATTTGTTTTCATGGTACAAGCTGATGAAGATCACGCAGAAAGTATACATGTGTGCACGTAAATTGGTATAACGCGTTTTCTATTACAGCACAAGTACCTTGTCTCATATATTTTTAGAGTGAATAATTCTTTAGTTTATGATCTTACAGAAAAGACCAAATTGCCTTGTCATATTGTAAAACAGAGAGTTTTGTTCCACAGTGGTTATAAAAAGACTGCTAGTATTCATTACAAAACAGATAAGGATACGATTGAGGTACGTTAAATTACTCCATCTTTATCCAAAAGACAAATATAAAAGACATCGACATAATGATATTGTATTTTGAGAACTTATAGACTTGATGATCTGTATATATATATATATATATTTGTTACATCTTGTGATCCGTTTATTTGGCAATCGCAAATGGCAGTCAGCAGGGTTTAAGAACATCAGTTGTTCGACCTGCTAGTCAAATGCGTTTTGTTAAAATATACTTTTTCACTCATTTGGTCTTTTGGAAAATGTTGTTTGTGCTGTATTTAGACCCCTCTACCAAGAAGTTTGTTTTGCATGCACACGTATAAAATTGCGGTTTTTATCCAACGCAATCATAGGTTTGAACGCTGTTTTCAATTTAGACTTGTATATATATATATATACCATGCAAATATCAAAAATATATAATCACAATGTTGGTGTATTGCTATATTTTATTTTATTTGTAATAGCAACTTGTTACATGAAATTCTGAATTACAAATTGTCTAGGAACTTATAAAAAAAGGATTCAATGAATTTGAAAGATTAGACGAGAATATAGAAGACGAAATTCATTACTTCAGACGAATGGCAGAATGTAAGTTATTAACAAATTTACTACTAACAGCTAAATTGAATTTACTTAATGATGTAAACACTTCCGTTCATGTTTGTTTATACTAAGTAGCGTCATGATCTTCCAATATTTGTGACAAAATGAGGAATAATGTACCAGAAACCATTATTTGATGCCAAAAAAAAATCATCAACGAAAAACAAATACGACACACAGAAACTGCGACAAGAATTGAATGTCAGGCTCCAAACTTGGGACATGCGCATAAAGAAAGTAGCGACGTTAAACACTGTTAGTTAGCGCTAAACCTGTCTCTAATGTAGGACAGCAGTGTAACAGCATAGTATAAGAACTATAGAAATAGGTTCAAAAGGGCTTGGACCGTTCATTCGACACAAAGCACATAAAACCAAGAAACACAACATATCGGTCTAATACTACTCGCAGTTACTGAGAACTAGTTCAAAAACAATTTCAACTAATAAATACACCACCATTTTCAATAATAAAATATTGATCATTTCAAATTGACATATTTAATGTTAAGACGTCATAGACAGCCTTGTCAAGGCCAAAGTAAGAATTGCATGTAAACCAATAAGCGTGTATGACTGTTATACCGATAAATGTGTAGTACTATTAAAAAAAATCGATAAAGACAATTGTCACATGTCTAAGTACAGTATCTAATTGAAAACATTTATGAATAAGTTTTATTCAAGATCAGTAAATTGAAATGAATCGTAAATATTTCTAAGTACAGCTGTTTTTTTTTTATTCCAATTATTAAACATGTTTTTATGTATCTTCTTTAGATCTACCTTTCCGCATTACTTTGTATCATTATAACATGTAACAGTAGTATGATATTTTTGTTTTATTGTATGATATACTTTTTTTTCGTTCTGATAAAAGATGCAATTGGAGAGGAAGTTTTGCCAATTATTATATCATTAAAAAGAAATCATGTGATCAAACAAGAAGTACTAAACACAGCACAATCCTACCAAATACCTCTCATTTACTTCAAGGTAAAGTATTTTCATTTGTATGCACTTCTGAAAGGTGGTCTGGCTGCATACACATTCATCAAGAATCATAGTAAACTATTTCCTCCACACACGTGGTTGACTTATGTATAGTCATATGTATTGTCATTTTTTAATTCAAATTAAACAGATTAATGGATATCAATATTGCTATATGTTATTTTTATGAATGCTAATCGTGAAACAATTTCCCTAAACATACAAATTAACATACAACGAAGACAGACTATATGATTTCGTTGTTTTAAAGTTCATGAAAAATACACCTATACAAATTTGAGAATTCAAAGTCTATGTACATGTTTACACTACAATGATATTTTCATACTTTAAATTACTAGTACATATACATACTATTGTTCATCAGCCACAGAAAAAAACACAGGATGTTAATATCTTATGGCCTACAGACGGTAACGACCAGGACAATGCAGTGATCACAGAATACAAAACGGATACTACAAAGCCTTGGCGCGTAAAGAAATTAAAAGAGAAAAACACACAGAAGAATTCATCGTCAGATGGCATTGCACTTCTTTCCGAGATTCATGGTGACCTGGATATTGTTATTTCCCATATATTAGTTGGAGGTTCGTATTGAGGAAAAATAATTTAAAATTACTGAATACTAACATATATTTTTCAAAACATTAATGTTCAATCAAATTGTGTTCCGAATTAAGTACTTTAGACAGAAATGGAAAGGGTGAATGATCTTTGATGTCTTTAAAGACAATTTCAGAGAAATACAAACATAACCCGTTCAGATTTATAACAGTAAGCACGTGCAAAACCGGTGAAAAAAATGGGGGCATAATTTGATCAGACTAAAAACAAAAAAAGGGGAATTATTTGAACAGCAAAATCTGGTAATCTCCTTCATTTTAGATGTTGTTCTCGGACTCAACTTGAATTTGTCACTGATACATTTAACCTTAAGGTAGATATATTTCAGAAAAAAAAGAAGCCAGTTTGCTTCATAATTTGAAATGTAGGCTGATGTATAACTGAAAACTATGATATATGTAACACCCGAAAGTGTTAATTTTGTGTGTCTTTTACTTGGTTCTAAACGGTTGTTACCAGCAGAAAATGCAGACATACTTTCTAATAGGGCCTTAAGGATACATATTCCATGGTAGCCTACTTAAAATGCATAACGATGTTGTAACAGTTCCAATCGATGAAATACAAAGCACCTGTTATGAATATTGTTTATTATAATAGCTAAGGAAATTGAACATTATCACAGCAATGAATTTGCAACAACTCCCGAGTTGTCTAGACATGAATGAAGGTTGGCAGTAAGCAAATCAACAAATATATAGAAATATAACGTATCCAGTATCGATACCAACACAATGTGCAAACCAGTCTCTATATTTTTCAAGTCTGGCATTCAACTTGTTTTGATATTTCTTGTTTCTGTTGGAAGTGTTTACATCTTTGCATTTTTTTTATAACGGATATTCATAATGCTGACTTTAGATCAAAATTTTGGTAAATAAGGAGTTTTGATAAGAGCCATTATGTAGACTGATATTATTTAAATTAGTCAAACCTTTTTAAGAATATTAGTTAAAAGATCGGAAAAAGCTATTGTGGCAATTACTGCAGTTTTGCATGCAATGCTTGCAGTTTGAAGCCTTACTTCAAATATGCAAAACAAAAAACTTATATCTCACAGACTGAACCTAATGAACAGAAGAAGGATATTATTTGATAACATTATAATACTTTTTTATTATCGAATTCACATGGCCCTCTCTTGTTGTTAATGTTGTCAGAAATAATTCAGTTTGTTGACCACTGTATAATTAATTAAAAGGGTTCAATATATTTCGCAAATTTGATGAAAAGAAATTTTTGACAAAATTAGCATATACATTCGAATTTTTGATCTGGTGCTTTTCAGCTTCGATTTTGAATCCGTCTTCGAACGATTTTGAATTACTCGTCACTTATTAGTCTTATGTCGATGACATAAGCGTCTGCGGAAAAATTACGAGCCTGTTTTTTTTTTAAGCCATTGCATTTTATCAAGTGATTTTTTATAATGATATTGAATTGGTTTTATCTGATATTTATAGTGTGTTTTAAAGAAAAATCATCGACAGAGAGAAAGGATGTAAGTTATATTTTTAGGCCAATGGTATGTATGTCATCTTAATAGTTCGATAAATTTCAAGATGATAAACATAATTTCGTAACTTTTTTGGGATAAGTCTCTTTTGAAGTTAATTCATAAAAATATTGTTTCTATTCCAATTTTTGAACTGAAAAAGGACAGAAAATTGGAAGAAAAAGAAAAGACTGGCATAAAACTGAATTATCAATTTTTACCAGTCTTTCTCTTTTCTTTCATGTTTCTTTCATTTTTTTCAGGTCAGAAGTGAAACAACACTGTGCCAAACATAATTAAAGTATATATATTTTACAAGCCAAATGATAGGAGAAGACATGACCTTTAAGTTTATTAATGTAACGGATGTATTGCTTTCTATGATATATTATTTGTAATTGCCTGAATCGTAAGAATTGTCGTAGCTTAACCTTGTCTTGACAACTTATTAAGTAGATTTCATTGCAAACAACCTATAGCCATAAGCCGACAATGATATATATACAAATAAAGATTAAGCATATACAAAAATCGAATGAAATTATCTACTTGAAAAGGGTAAGCGATTCCTGTTCTCCTAGTGGCATCTTTCGTGTTGTTATTTTATCAACCATCCGATAATAAGTCGCTATACATGATATCATGAATGCCAAAGAGAGGACAGAAACGTACACTACACAAAAATACTTTCGTCGTCATCGCATCATATATTTTCAAAAACGTCGACCGAATCATAATTGTGTCTTTACATTTATAGACAAAATATACTTTAACTTTACAATTGGTTCAATGGCATTCTTGATAGTCGCGACCGTCTGTTTAGCATAGGTGGAAACGTAAACAAGCATGGAAAATCATATAAACTTGGGATTAATACGCCATAGACAAGTGCTACTTGAATAATATCTTAAGTCTTCATAAATAGTTGTTAGTCAAGATAGGATACATAGATGGGTGAATAGGTGTCATTTTTAGTTAAATAAGGTTCAATATTGTCGCTTACAAAATTAATTCGATTAAGTTGATTTATATACATAAAAAGAACGTACAGATATACGAACAAGAAAATGTAGAGTGAGAAGACAATGCTTTCATTGTGTCTTATGTGACCCTGTGTCTTATCATTGCCATTATTTATATTTTTTAAAGACTGATGGAAAGAAAAAAAAGTTATTTTGGATGTGTTTGTGCTTGAAAATTCATTTGTTTTTATGTTCTAATTGATTATCAGCTTTAAATGTTTATTTGTCATTTTGATATTTAGAAATTACTTGATAACAATCTTAAATTAAAGGATACATATACTAATGACTATGCCACTGCCTTATCGATGTACCTTTTGAAAAAAGGAAAGTGGACAATTTCCAAAAAAGATATGAGAAAACTATTTAGTCAGAAATCTTTGGAATACATCTACGAGGAGGTAAGAGTTTTATTGTTGTTGACCTTTTACATAAGTTTCGAAATTTCAACAATCTAGCTAATTTCGGAGTATAAACTAAAGCAGTTACCATGAGGCATATATGTGAAGACAATCCAATTAGCTAGGTTAATTGGAATATACATAATGCCCGAATACGTTCTGAAGCAGTGCATTCTCCTTCAGGTTTACAAGACCACAAATATATACAAGGTGCGAATGAATAAAACAGAGACAACAACAAAAATGCACTCAACAACTAACGCCTATAGATTCAGCGATGATGAAATGTATATGCCTTTGATTTAATAGTCAATTTTTTTATTAATACTTAAAAGAATGATAAGTCCCCGAGGAAATCGCAAGTCCAGTAGCCAATACTTTGGTACTGGCATGCGAATATGGATAATGTTTGTTAAATTTTGCTACTGTACAATTTTGAAATTTGTTTTATTTTTAAAAATATATCTTCCTCAAGCAAAGCTCTGATTCCCTTCTCGGTCTAGGCTAAGCTGTTTGTTCTCTTTGGTTCTTACGTCCTTCATTTGAAACACATCTTTAATTTTCAAATGTTATCGCCTCGAGCATCACTGAAGAGACATGTATTGTCAAAATACGTATCAGGTGCCGTAAAATTGGTTCCGTTGGTGTTATTATTACCATCGGGTTAATACGTTCGCTCCTACTGTATGTTTAATGTTGTTTTCAAAAATAGAAACTTTAAATGTGCCTAATGTAAATAAAATACAAAAACAACCAGGTCTTCAAATTTACACAAGATTTAATTGACAATTAAGATTTAAACGTCGTTTCTTTCAATTGATGGGTGTGCAACCAAGTCCAGGACACTCAGTTCAATCTATGAATTGTCAAAACTAAGGTGACACTTTATATTTTGGGTTTTTTAGGTTGTGACTTCCGAATTTATAAAGAAATTATGTCGCAACCAGGATGCCTTTTCCAGATTGGCATACAAACTTCCTGAACACTCAGGTAAGAATCAATTGATATGAAAAGTAGTATAAGAATAGAATGAATAACAAATGAAGTAAATGTCAATAATATAACGAACCAACGGCACAAAAAAACTTCGTTCTTCGACAATTAGCATCATGAAGGTATTGATACAATATGCAACGCTCTAAGTCGTCCGAAAACTAAAAAGTTTGCAGTGAATTAAACAAAGACTACCAAGTGTCTTTTGAAAAAAGCTAGTATTAACTGAAAACTTTTTGAAACTTCTAAATGGGGTAAAAGGGAAAGTGACAGAACCATGCCGTCTTCAACTCAAAAACTGACCATGATGTCTGTACGTTTTCATCGATTGTATACAGCAATGATATAATCAGTATGTCAAGACAGCATCTTATAATATGTCAAAAAACTATACCAGATTAAAGTGCCAACACAACACACAAGAACATTTAAGTCATGCTCATGTTTATAAAAAAACAGCCGCATAGTCATGATATTTATCAGGAAGTATATAAACCTAAATAGAAAGAGGATAATCCATAAACTTGATAGTTTTGAAATAATACCATCTATATAAAGAGACGGAAGATATTAAAAGTATGCTAAAAAGTAATTAGTTAAAGGGAAACCAACAACGATATCTCAAAACAACAAAAAAACGGATTCTATGACAAGACAAACACAACATATAGAAAAAACAAGACTTATAAAAATTAAAACTAAAAACCGAGCAACACGAACTAAATCATAAACCGGGGTATATTTAGATGCTATGGAATGTTAAGTCTATCATGCCCCACTAGTGCCACAAACTCTGTATGTCATGATAAGATTAAATTGGATGGACACATCCCATTCAGTGATATCAAAATGGAGAATAAGAGGACTGGATTTTGGTATTGACAACTGAAACATATTCATGTGTGACAGAACGGCCGTCCTAGTCGTGATGACGTCTGTACAACTTTTGAAGGGAAGACTTCATCTTTCAAAAACCTTTTTGGTTTTAAAGCTGCATTGTAATCACCAACACATTTCAAGGACACCATAAGAAAGAACTGATTTTTTTTAATATCGTATCAAATGAGGGATATAAAATCCATATGCAGGCACCGCTTGTGTGTCGTTACATGGAAATGGGAAGTTTGAAATTTGAAAGCTCAAATCATCTCTTTTGTTCTAACGTGGTATCCTCAACCTTATAGCCCATTTCTATATGAGAGTAAAGTTCGGGACAGATTTAACTGAATATGTGGTATCCTTTCGTACAAAATCGATGGGATAGGTGCTTTTAACATACTAGTATATTAACTGAAAAAAAAAGAAATAGTAGAAAGTGACGTTAAGGGATAATTCTAGTTTCTTTTCGTTCTTCTAAGTGCTGTTTTGACCTCACAATGTTAACCCATTAGGAATGCATACACACGTGTTCTTTTCCGCGTAGAGCCTATTGTCTGGGATAATAAAAGCTCGACTGAATGCCTTAATATTTTCATGTTGCATTTCAAATTTATTATTTTATTTTTTTTCCGATAGATTTTGTTTGTGAGATCAATAATGAAGAAACAGTACAGATTGAACGGACAACAAAAGGTGAGAATATTTTTTAGAAATACGTGACACTCAATGTCAGAAGGTGTCTTGAAATATCATGTTGGGAAATAACTATGGTACATTATAAGGACAATTTATTTATATATTCTTAGTCCAAAATGTATCGTTTTGAAAAAAATTCTACTGCAGTTTCTTCAGTTATCTGACACTACACAATCTTATTTATACGGCAATTCTTTCTGGCGATGTTTCTGAATATTTTAAAGGAGTTGTGAATGATTAACCTAATAATTATCATGTTAAGATACTATGGAACGCCTCAGCTGTCTTATGTGGAACTCTGATATTACTTTATGTTGTTTTATTATAACTTGATGATATTTTGTCTTTACTTAATATGGTTTTGGCATTACGTAATGATGTTTTGATATAACTCAATATGGAATAGTCATTACTTAATGATATTTCGATATTACACGATATGGTTTCGTATTGACTTGATATAGTTTTGTCATTACTCAATATGGTTTTGTCATTACTCGATGTGGTTTCACCATTATTTAATGTGGTTGTGTCATTAGTCAATGTTGTTTTAACATTACTTGATGTGAATGTGACTTAACGTTATGTAGTTGTTTCATTACATGATGTGGTTTTGTTATTTTGTAATGATGATTTGCCTATTCTTTATATGGTCTTAACATTACGTAATGATGTTTCAAAATTTGACGATTTTACACTACATGATGTGTTTGTTTCATTATTTGAAGTGGTCCTGTCATTCTTTGATGTGGTTATCCCATTACTTGATGAGGTAAAATCACGTGACCAATTCGGAAAAAAACTGTTCTATTTTTAGATAGATTTCCATGTTGTATGTGCCTTGGATGAGTGTGGCCATCCATCGAATTAGAGTTCAATTTAAAGTTAGGGTTACTGTTTGAGTACAACTTTGAGTTAGTCTCCGATTCCGAATAATTCAAGTCATTATTAGAATTAAAGTTTTAGTTAGCATTGAGTTTCGAGTTGGACTTCAAGTTTAAGTCACATTTAAAGGCAGAGTTCTAGTTACACCATTAAATTTGAGTCTTTTTTGAGTTTGAGTATGATTCGAATTTAGGTCTCATTTAGATTAATTAAGATTTTGAGTTGAAATTCGTGCTTTTTTATATGAGTACGTAATTAAATTTTCTGTCGCGGAACAAGGACTTTTGCTCGGGATTCCAAAAAGAGGGCTCCGGGGTATGCGTACAAAAGATAAACAATGTTACAGTATACAAAACGCAACATAGAAGTTGAAATAAAGTTAGATGTGGTGTGATTGACAATGAGACAACTATCCACCAGAGTTTAAATGCAGTGGATGTAAGAAATCATATATAGGCAACCGTACAGCCTTCAACACACCATATAGTCAGCTATAAAAGGCCACCATACACCATGTGAACAAATTCATTTAACCGCTTATACCCCAAAAATGACAAAAAAAAAGTTCAATTGTCTCCCAAAAGAGCAAAAGATAATAAAAATAAAAACCCTGACCACATGCACACCTTCAATATATGTACAAACAGCCAGCAGAGCGGAAACTTCCTAGCATTCAAACTGTAGGAGGGGTTATCTTGAAACGCTCTTCTTATGCAAGTAAATTTACCAAAAAATTACAAAGTTCAACTACCTCCCAAAAGAGCAAATATTAATAAACAGTAAACCCTGACTACATGCACACCTTCAATATATGTACAAACAGACAGTAAAGAGAAAACTTCCTAGGATTCAAACTGTAGAAGGAGTTATGCGGAATAACTATATACCCATAATGGGACGGACAGACGGACGGACGGACGGACAGGGGTAAAACAATATCCCCCCCCCCCCCCATTTTCAGTTGTGGTGGCATACAACAGTTTCATTTGGCTGACTCAATAGATCGGTATGACTGGGTAATATAAATCCATCGAGGTGATCTCGGATGCTCCAGAAAGGCACCCGTCGTGTTATTCGAGAAAGTACAAACCCAGTGATTTGGTTTTATTTGGTAGTTCACATTCAAGAAAAAGATGACGGTATTATGGTTACGACCACTGGAACATGTCCGTCGTCACATGTGAAACAGATATTCCAAAAAGTTTATTTTTCAATTAGTGCAAGGTAGATCAGGGAATTCAATTGATTACAAATAAAAGATTGATATTTGTATAAGTTCAAATGATCATTTACGCTAAAAAAAATTCGGAGAATTCTTATTTTATAGTATTGATGCTTTGTCGCTAAGTCCGAGCTCCCTCCCCCCGTTTCCCTGTTACTTTAGTGTGAGTTGATTTGAAGTGCTTCATTTGTTAACATTACAGTTCAAGTCGTTTGATTTGTGTCGAGCCTGCGACAGCAATGTAGCGGCAGTGAGACCAAACAAACCTATATTTCGTCGTCGATAGTGGCGTCGGCGTCTCCATCTCCATTTTTTTTGTATTTCTATTGAGTTTAACCTTTCATTATACATGTTACTAAACACGTATGCCATTATAATTTTGTACTTTTAGAATATCATACTGTATTTGTTTACCTCAACTATTGTTTCTGTATTTATATTGTATGTTTCTCTGTAAACTTGTAATTAGTTTTTAGAGAATAAAGTATCTATCCATCTATCTATCTATCTATCTATCTATCTATCTATCTATAGATCGTAAGGTTTCTAGTTTTTTACATTTTTCATTTCGGGACCTTTTATAGCTTACTATAGGGTATGGGTTTTGCTTATTGTTGAAAACCATACAGTTTTGTTTTAGTTAAATAAAACCGAATTAAACTGTTTTGACATGATAAATTTGTAAACCTCCAGAAGTGTTTTAAAACTTGTATAGGAGTATAGGAGTTATTCCTCAATTTCAAGAAAAAGCATCTACAGAAAAACATTTTTTTTTAATTTTGTTTTTACCGATAAATGTATAGATATATGTACAGCCGATCAACATGACGCTTTTACACTTACAGCAGCAATATCAGGCGAGACATAGGGTTCCGTCGAATATTTAACAAATTTATTACAAAAATACTGCTTCCGTTTGAGAACTTAGGATAAAAACAACAAGACAAAGTGGTTTGGGGATATCCCAAATATGTAAGAAATACTGTAAACTTTTTAATACTTTTTTTCTTATTATTGTCTGCCGGTTACCTTTTTCATACTAAACAACTCTGAACAACCACTCGAACTTTAATTTGAACTTTAACTCAATGGATAGCGATACCCATCCAAAGAACATTAAACAAATGATATATTGAAATCTGTTTAAAAATAGAACATATTTTTTTCCGAATTGGTCACGTGGTTTTACCTCATCAAGTAATGGGATTACCACATCAAAGAATGACAGGACCACATCAAATAATGAAACAAACACATCATGTAATGTAAAATCGTCAAATTTTGAAATATCATTACGTAATGTTAAAACCACATAAAGAATAGGCAAATCTTCATTACGAAATAACAAAACCAGATCATGTAATGAAACAACTACATAACGTTAAGTCACATTCACATCAAGTAATGTTAAAACCACATTGACTAATGACACAGCAACATTAAATAATGGTGAAACCACATCGAGTAATGATAAAACCACATTGAGTAATGACAAATCTATATCAAGTCAATACGAAACCATATCGTGTAATATCGAAATATCATTAAGTAATGACTATTCCATATTGAGTTATATCAAAACATCATTACGTAATGTCAAAACCATATTAAGTAAAGACAAAATATCATCAAGTAATAATAAAACAACATAAAGTAATATCAGAGTTCCACATAAGACAGCTGAGGCGTTCCATAAGATACTATTGGGCGTCTGTTTCTTCGTGTTTTCCAGGACAAATAGTAACGTAACCCTCTTAAAAGTACAAACACAACAATGCTGTACTGTGTTCGCAAAATCGAATAATATATTATGTACCTAGTAAATCAATTGTAAATTATAATCTAATTCGTCTGATTATGCACTTAAAAATGATATAAAATTATCCTTAATCCTGACTGATACCAGACTAATTGATGACAGATTATTACTAAATATTACGATGAGCACACAAAATGACTGTAGCACACATTTTGGTTTCACTCAGAGTTAGCCTAAACATGGAGCAGATAAGCAACTAAGCTTAACAGTGGCAGATTGCTAGACCTCAGTTTTGCTTTTTAATACTGATCCGGTTGTTTTATCATGTCTGCAAAACACCTACCATGTTGAAAGTTCTGCCTTGGTTATGCCCGGAGGACAAGTATGCTAGACATGTCGATACAGATTACATACATGTCTATTTTTCCCTTTTCTTTATACGTACACCCGAATATTCTAATGTTAATTCAATTTGTAAGCATAGGACATTGTTTGATATTTCATTTCCCAATTCAAACCGGTACTGATCACATGATAAATGTAAGCATGAAGTAACCAGCACTACTAATTAGTAATCTAAGTCAGCACTGAAACGGTCATGTTGATTCATTCATCTTCTAAAATACTAAACAATGAATCATTAAGTCCGGTTCGTTCAATCGGACAATTTTCAAACTGATACACTATGGTAAAATAATTACTGTTCAGGCAATTTGCTTTAAGTCAATAAAGATCTTATAAGTGTATGTTTAGACTGTTTAGTACTTACTTTAAATTACCTGTGCACATTTCCAAAATACTGACTTCTTAGTTAGCTACTGAATAGTACTGGATTGACTGCAAGACAAATGTTTGAAGAGTAATGAATTACCAACATGACATATCTAAATAATAACTAAAACGCTTTACAAGACTTAACATATAACATATATAATGATAGAAAGATCAAACTGACCGTTTCAGACTAAAATTCATTAACTACACGAAGATCAATAGTAAAAATTGGAATTTATATGGTGCAATCGGAATAGACCTTAGTTTTATTGAAGGACTGTTTACCGAAGTTAACTTCACATTTAGATTTAACTACAGAAGCCGATCTGTCAAAAGTTTTCTTTTTTAAATAATGAAAAAAGTCCTAAGACTAATTCTTATTTTTTGGTTGTCTTAATCATAGTTCTAAGACCGATCGGAGTAGCCATTAAACCTGTTGCAAACTAACTTTGACTAGTCCCCAAGTTCACTTGTTGTACAAGTTGTGATCGCAGCCATCATCTTATCTGTACGAATTTATTTCGATTAATTAACGACATTTATACTCACAGATATATCAAATATGACAATTGGATAATTGCCATGGCCATCAGAAATGAAAATATCATTTGCGTACAGGTTTGGCTGACAGTTATCAAATAAATCAGAGCTAGTGTATTCTCTTTTCATTAGGTCTTTTTCTTTTACTAATCAACTGATGCAGCATAGCATTTTTTCACAGGTAAAAGAGTACAACTTATCGAATGGGATACTGAATGTAATGGGCTTATATTTTTTGCTTTGTTGCAAAAACAGTACTGGACAGGAGCTCTTCAGCTGGTGGAAACAGGATGTGTACGTAAAAAACAATCTTTAATTTTGTTTGTATTATTATCAAAATATTGACATAAGTAAAGCGTCTATTATCAGCAAAACTATTCATTGAGAAGGTATTATCGGCCAAGTTATCAACACTTTGAATCATAAATACGTTCATTTTTTGCTCTATCACCCTTTAAGTGTTATTTGATTAATTATACTGAATTTCCTGTCATTGCTTTCTATAAAATTTCATATTCAAAGTAATAAACTATGACGTCTTGTATATACCAACCATCCATATTTAATAAAGCACACAACTGATCAGGCGTTTCCGTGAAAGGTAAAAAAGTATTGGCCATGGAAGAGAATGATTATCTCTCTCGTATTTAATAATCAAAATCTGGCATTCAGACATTGAGAATACTAAAGAAATTTATTGATATAGGTTGGGATTCACCATATTCTTGTCGGATGTGTCTTATTAGAAGACGAAGTGATCGATTGGAAAACAACGACGGCCTTAAAGGAAAAACTACAACTTTTAAAAAGGTAGTATTCTAACTAAATCAACAATATGCCAACTTGTTTAAATGTTAAGAAGGTGTATGCGCTAGTGAAACACTATGCAGTCTAAAACTGATCTAAAAAAAGTGAAATTCACAAACTATGAAATAAATAACGTAAACAGTTTAAGTTCAATATCAATGCAACAGCTTAGGTTTGATGTAAATGGATCGTTGACTAAGTATTGACATTTTGATTTGAACATGCATGTTAACAAATAGTGCCATTTCGATTTCCTAAAGCCAAATTTCAAACAATGAACTCGCTAATTTCCCATAAAGCAATCTCTATTTTTCTCGGATTGTAGATACGCTGTAAATGAATTCACTCGAAACGCATTCAGATCTATCAACATATATATTTCTGAATAGACAAATCACGAAATATACATTTCAGTACCTCATTTCTATCTTCTATTTGATTCATTTTTTTTTAGTTTGAATGCATGTTAGCTAATGTTCTTTATTTCAATTTGTTTTGTTTATTTACAATAATCTTAGGTGACATAATTATTTATGTGATAATTTTTGCAAATTAAATCATAGCGCATTTACTGAGAGAGCTATTGGTATTACGAGCTGCATTTATGAAGAAGATAAGAACGCAGAAAATAACGTTGCTAAAGAAACTGAAATTGGCAGTATTGAGAAAATTGCAGAAGACAGAGAGCTTGATGACAATATAAATCATGCTGGAAGACTCTTGTTGAATCATGGATATTTAAGGGATGCTATTAATACTCAAAACAATACCTTCCTGAAAAATGACACAGTGAGGAAAGTTTTAAACAAACAATGGTATGGTACAGAAGAAGTTGACTGGAAGGCGGTTAGTGAAAAATTAAGTTTCATTTTTATAAATTAACATTGTTTGTCTTAATTTTTCACTATAAAGTCAAAGTAACAAATTGAGAACTGGAGTGGTCGTGTCACCGTGGAATCTGTAACAATATGACAAAAATATTATGTCACAATAAATGGAAAAAATGTAAACACAGCAAACAGTAAACATCCCTTATTTACTTCATTTTACCAAGGTATTTCTACAAATAAAAGACTAGTGTTTTATAAATCATCCCAATACAAATACACAAGAATGTCTGTTATATCATGACTAACTTAAATTGCAAGTTAAGAAAAATGGCTAAAGACAGGAGTGGTTAAAGACAAGACGAAGAATGTACACGTAACAATTATATAAATAGTATAAGAAGTCAAAAGAACGATTTAAAACATTGGAACGTTAATCTATTCCAATATGAATTTTCCATATATTATACTAAATGTTTTGGAATTGAAGACTGTCCTGTGATTATATACCAAAATTTTAATCAAAGTTAGTATTTTACAAACTACACATAAGTGCGTATACATCATGTACATATTTGATTGGGAATGAAAATTTTACATATGAAAAAAGTCGCGACAGTAAGCGTATCTTTTTTTCTTCAAATTCAAATAAAATGTATTTCTTGTTCTCTTTGCAGATTTTCAGCTTTATTTTTCTTGTTGCAGCCCACCTAATAATGCTGCCCTTATTAATGATTAACATGGAAGCACGTCCATTACGTCGGTAATTTCAGCCTTTTAATCATATGATTCATTCGTTTCTATTAAACTATGTCTCTATATACATTGATGAGTACTGCTGGTACTACAGCCTGTCGATACTTTTATTTTGGAATTCCACAAATTCAGGCATTTCTTTGACTACTAAAGACGTCTCAACAATACATTCGTTGGAGGTATACTCATTGATATTTAGTCTTGGAAACATAATTAATCGGTATTTTGTGTCTTTTCTATTTTCTGTTTTTGTTTTTGTGTTAAATATAGACGTGAATTATCCCTCTCCCCCCCCCCCCCCCCCCCACTGAATGGAATGAAACCAAACATGGCATGAATGTTTCTTATAAGCTGCTGACCAAGTGTTGTTACTTTGAAGCCGATCCATCATCCAAGATGGCCGCCAGCGGGGGCCTTATTTTAACATAGAACCCTATGGGAAATACATACAAATGTCTTCTTTTAGAGAACCACTGAATGGAATGAAACAAAACATGGCATGAATGTGTCTAATAAGGTGCTGACCAAGTGTTGTTACTTTGAAGCCGATCCATCATCCAAGATGGCCGCCAGCGGGGGGACTTCGTTTAATATAGGACCCTATGGACAATACATACACATGTCTTTTTTTAGAGATCCACTGAATGTAATGAAACCAAACATGGCATGAATGTTCCTTATGAAGTGCTGACCAAGTGTTGTTACTTTGTAGCAAATCCATCAATCAAGGTGGCTGTAAACGGGGAACTAAGTTTAACAAAGGACCCTATGGGAAATATATACAAATGTCTTCTTCTAGAAAACCGCTTAATGGATTGAAACCAAACGTGGTATGAATAATTATTTTGAAGTGCTGACCAAGTGTTGTTACTTTGTGGCTGATTTGTCATCCAAGATGGCTGCCAGCAGGGGGAGTAAGTTTAACGTAGAACCCTAAGTGAAATACATACAAGTGTTTTCTTCTAGAACCACTGAATAGAATGAAACCAAACATGGCATGAATGTTCCTAATGAGGTGCTGACCAAGTGTTATTACTTTGTAGCCGAACCATCATCCAAGATGGCCGCCAGCAGGGGACTTATTTTAACATAAGACCCTATGGGAAATACATACAAATGCTTCTTCTAGAGGTGCACTGAATGGAATGAAACCAAACATGGCATAAATGTTCCTTATGAGGTGCTGATGAAGTGTTGCTACTTTGTTGCCGATTTACTGTTCAAGATGGCCACCAGGATTTTTTTATTAATTTACGGAGCCAATATTAAACCAAATTTGGCCTTAATCATTAGCATATTAGGAGGGTATCTATTATGATTTTAATCTATTTTTACATGATTTCCAACACCAAAGTAGAATCAGGTGAGCGACACAGGCTCTTGAGAGCCTCTAGTTTAGCCATGGCGTTGTCAGTTTATGTTCGACTTATGGGTTTGGACGTCCCTTTTGTATATTTCGCCTCTCTTTACATAGTTACACGCAGATGAGTACCCTGTCTTCCATACCCGGGCTACTCAATCTATTCTCAATTCATATGAGTTCGTTGTATTTTCTTTCTCATTTTTCATTTCTCGACATATGGTGTAAAGGATACAGCTGAAGAACCTTTATATTTTAATTGAGATATAAGAGAAAAAAAATATGTTCAAATTTGGTCGATATCAATGATTTTATTTTTAGCTCATTATACTTTCAACCCTTGGACCACACTGACACATAATTGTGAACATACAACTTGAACAGAATTATGAATGCAATATTCCTTATTTAGTCTTTTCGTCTTTTTGGACAAAAAATGACCTTAAAAATACAACACAATAATACTAAACATTTTATGCTTTATTATACAGGTTTTACAAGAATTACAAGTTGCCTTTCCTGAAAGTAGTTATACATATGGTATGAACGTGGATATTTTGTAGTTCTTTTTTTTCAAAGTTAAACAGTGTACACATTTATAAGATACCAATTGCTTATACCAATGTATATTTAGAATTTGTTATTTTCCTAATGAACTTACTAACAGTGGGTTGTGTTCAATGTTTCATACACGGATTTCATATATGTTCTTCTTGCCTTACGACATACCTTGATTTAAATTGAATATAAACGCCATTGTACGGTATGCACTTGATGCACACAGGATTACAGTAACCACTTATGTATTAAAGCCATACAATCATACAAGTGGGAAGTTTGGCTAGCTATAAACTTGATAAAACCAGATTTTACCCACCATTTTCTTCTGAAAATGCCTGTACAAAGTCAAGAATATGACTGTTTTTTTTCATTCGTTCCGTTGTTTGACAACGTTTGATTTTGTCAGTTTTTATTAACTTATCCTTTTTGAATTTACCTTGGAGTTCGGTATTTTGTAATACTTTTTCTTTAGTACGACATACTATGAGTAAATCGAAAGTATTCACCTAACAAAAACAGGACCAAACTGGATTATAATCTGCGTTTGAGCTATGTTGTTTTTGTGTAGAATAATATTGCTATCTGGTATACATGATACTACAAATCCTCTGCACTTAATTAAAGATAAAATGACAACACTACCAAACTATATAACATCTTCAGCATAATTTCATAAATAACAATTAGAAAATACTAAGTTGTCCTTAGAACGTTCCAAAGCTAGTATATTCTATTAGATATGTTCAAGGTCATACACCACTATCAATATACTCTATAATTATCATACGACATACTAAATATCGATTATATCAAAAGTATTCACCTAACAAAAACAATATGAAATTAGATTAAAATCTGCGTTTGAATTATGCTGTTTTTGTTTAAAATAATATTGCTTTCTGGTTTACACTGTACCACAAACCCTTTACCCTTAATCAAAGAGAAAATAACAACACTACCGCAATGTTTAACTAATAGGACATACTTTCAATAATTATAGTTAAAAAATACTAATTGTCTAAAAAACGAGTCAAAGCTAGGATCTTTTATTAGATATGTCCAAGGTCATACAGAACTATCAATACATTCTATAACAGGTTAAAAAATTTTGTTTATCAATGTAACAGCTGGGATTCTTAGCTCTCCTGATTGCATATGCATACATGTTGCTGTTCGACTACAGTGATAAGGGGATCACCTCTTCTGACTGTTTTATCATAGTGTTGATAACTAGTTTTGTGGTGGATGAAATCAAGCAGGTATGTGTTTTTAAGGTCTGATATGTCTGAATTTAGACTACACATTTATTCTGAATATGGTTTTGGCTTAGGAAGTTAATTTTACTCTCAAATTTATACTAATAATACGCCTAATTGAATCACATAACTGATAGCACACAACGTAAGTTTTTCTTGATAAACACTGATGTCGCATGAATCGTACACATATTTTCAAAACGTTTGCTTAAATTGACACTTTACAAGTACTATGATTTGTAAATGACAACATGACTGTTACATTTGGTGGATATGTTTAGGAAATATACAGACGGTAGTCCTATGAAAACGTTTTGTTATCATCTTCTCGTCGATTTTTACCTCAACTAGTAAATGGTAGGCTTCTGACATGGGTTTCTCAAGAAGAAGGTAAAGAAACTTAAATGTTCCATTTAGATATTGCCCGTTTTACACTGAATAATTAATTGCTAGCAATAAATTATAAAGGTCGGTAGAGAACTAATCTTTGAGAAAAATCTGTTGACTTCAGTTTACTCATCGTCCACTTGCCACATCATTGTAATACAGTTTCGGAAGAACTGAACATAGAGCATATGTTCACCAGTGTATATAGATTGTGCGTTTACAATTCAATTTAAAAGAGCTTTTGCTGTTTCTTCCCTATATATAACTCGTTGATGAATATCAATGACTACAACATGGAGTGGATCGTTACTTGTCACTAGGAGCACTGCAGGTGTCACTAGATCAGCAGACACGACTCGTCTTCCGGAGCACTCCAGTGCATCAATTAGTTTTTTTGGTCCCTGTTGCTAAATTTGGGGTTTTGAAACGAAAATTCATTAAGGAAGTACTGCCATCAATATTAACATCTGAAATTAGGTTGGCCTCTCTAATTACATCTTAATATAAGAATATCATCTTCTTTTTTATTAGCTCACCTGGCCTAAAAGGCTTTTCTCATCACTTGGCGTCCGGCGTCCGGCGTCCAGCGTCCGGCGTCCGGCGTCCGTCGTCGTCCGTCGTCGTTAACTTTTACAAAAATCTTCTCCTCTGAAACTACTAGGTCAAATTTAATTAAACTTAGTCACAATCATTATTTGGGTATCAAGTTTAAAAAATGTGTCCGACAACCCCACCTGCCAACCAACATGGCCGCCATGGCTAAAAATAGAACATAGCAGTAAAATGCAGTTTTTGGCTTATATCTCTGAAACCAAAGCATTTAGAGTAAATCTGACGGGGTAATATGTTCATCAGGTTTAGATCTATTTGCCCTGAAATGTTCAGACGAGTCAAATAACCCGTTGTTGGGTTGCTGCCCCTGAATTGGTAATTTTAAGGAAATTTTGCAGTTTTTGGTTATTATCTTGAATATTATAATAGATAGAGATAAACTGTAAACAGCAATAATGTTCAGCAAAGTAATATCTACAAATAAGCCAAAATTGTCAATTCACCCCTGATGGAATTATTGCCCTTTAATGTAAATTTTTAACAATTTTTCGTAAATTTTTGTAATCTTTTCTACAATTTTCTCCTCTGAAACTACTGAGACAAATTTAACCAATCTTTGCTACAATCATCATTAGGGTATCTAGTTTAAAAAATGTGTCCGATGACCCCGCTTGCCAACCAACATGGCCGACATTGCTAAAAATAGAACATAGGGGTAAAATGCAGTTTTTGGCTGATATCACTGAAACTAAAGCAAAAGTATAATGGTTGCATTATTTGATGCATCAATTGTAAACAAAGATATCAGGTGAGCGACACAGGCTCCTTTGAACCTCTAGTTATTGTAAGTTGAAACAACTTTCTATTCAATTAAAAGATTCAATTTGATTTCGTATAATGAAAACATATAACTAATTTGAATTTATGTTTTTTGTTTATTACATTCTTAAAAAAAATATATCACATTTTATTTATGTTTTTTAAATGCAATAACGAAACAGGTTAACATATTTTTGTCTATGAAATAAAACAAAAAGATTAAAATACAACAAAACTATGCAAGAACGATAACATTGTTAGAAAGTCCATTCACCAATACAGCTTCCAGTAAAAGTTAATAACATTAACAATCACTCAGAGTTGAAAAGACAACTGAATCCAAATGCCGCAATATACTTCAGGAATTTTAAAATCAAAAATCAGAATACGACAGTTGTGCATTTTCAAAGTTAAATTAAACTAAAATACATAAGCATACACGCAAACTTAAAGGATGGTGATCAAGAGAAAATATACATTTAATCGTATGTCATGGTTCCTTTCATTTGCCTTTCTAAACGTTTTACAATTCTGTTCTTTACCATGTAAATTGACAGATAAAAAACACGTACAAGAAGATAAATTGTAATTTTGCTTAAATAGCTCTTGTTTCACCAACTTAACTATATTTTAGGTCATTGTTGCTTTTCTAAGAGGACAATTGAAAAGCTATGCAAGTGATTGGTGGAATACATTAGATTGGTTATTCAATATAGCATACATGTTAGGAATGCTACTGAGAGCTGGTGAAGGGTCCGGATTCCGCAATACGTCAAAATGTTTATTACTTTTAGCATTCATGATTCTTTGCGTAAGAATACTAAATATATGTTGCATGACAGAGTTTTTAGGACCAAAGTTGGTTATTATACGAAAGATGGTATGTAGGATTCTTATGTATACTAATTACTAAACTTACTACTGTTTAAACTTTAAATAACTAAAGAATTAAAATTCTATTTAAATACAAATATGGTACGCACTTCACATGTTTTATGACTTGTTTTAACGAACATAAGAAGAAATATAACTTGTCCGTTGCTGCTTGCAGTAAAAATTCCATTTGTGTTTTGAATGTAAAGCATTATTACAAACGTCATTGCATCGACATTGTTATTAGTATTTTGTATGATTCTTGTAAAAAGGTAAACAAAACCAGTACCTATGTATCAGTTGATATGTAGAGAAAGATATCACATTACAAGTACAGCCTATAACTACCACCTGAAGGTAAAATGGTATTAAACTCAAAGTACCAAATATGAAATCGAATCAAAGCCTATAAAATGTAAATATAGATGTCCAAAAAGTATTCTTTAATTGATGTTCAATTGATATGGTTAGTTTATATTGAGTGACATTCCAAGTTGTAGTTTCCCTGTGATGTTCCCCCCAATGCAAGATATAAAGCTTTATATTTTAGATAGTGTAGTGTGGCGTGGGCTTTTTTCTGTTCTTTGGTCGTGTTGTTGTTGTCTAATTTTTGACACATTCCCCGTTTCCATTCTCGATTCTAAACTTTATTTTATCTCATTTTGTCTCTATTTTTGAAATCCTTAATTATATTCCCAGTAAATGTTAAAACCGGGTAGATCATTGTAGATTGCAATTAAATAGTAATCTTTGATTTGAATGACGAAAAACAATGTACATATAATATGTTTTCCTTCTCTGATATAAATAACCATAGTCAAGATAATTTTTGGTTGAATTAAGAAATTTTATTTCAGATTAAACAAACGGTTGCCTTTATGATTATTATGACTGTCATAGTGGTGTGGTACAGTGTTTCCTTTCATGCACTTTTATATCCAAATTCTGAGTTCAGCTGGAGCGAGATCGAAAAAATTTTGTCAAATGGTTATTGGATGTTATTTGGAGAACTGAACTCAGATGGTGAAAAAGGTATGAATCTATTTATACTTCTATAGCTAGGAACTACAATTTCTCATAACTCACACCTAAGTATATGAGATGGTCTTCTACGAAAATACAGGTAGTCAGTCATCAAGATCTACATTTGAGAAGATATAGCATATTTCGTTCTCCTTCATTTCGGATGTATGATTTTGTTCAGTTTGTAAGCTGTTTTTTATATTTTCTTTTTTTCATTTATGTATACATAAGTTTCATTGGTTCATAAGTGTTTCTCGTTTCTCGTTTTTCATAAAAATTAGACCGTTGGTTTTCTTGTTTGAATTGTTTTACACTTGTCATTTTTGGGCACTTTGTAGCTTGCTGTTCGGTGTGAGCCAATGCTCTGTGTTGAAGGCCGTACTTTGACCTATAATTATTTACTTTTTACACATTGTGACTTCGATGAAGAGTTGTCTCATTGGCACCCATACCACATCTTCTTATTTCTATATAATAACATGATTAAAGAAGACCAAATAGTATAATGATAATATAATGCCATCAAGAAAAGAATTATTTTTTTCTTTGTATCATCCTTATCACGCGAATGGTATTTTTTTTTAAATTTGGTTAAAATCACGCATGAAATGATAATTGTATGTCATTCTCCAATTTTGAAATGTCAATTAGCCGTATATACATTCATTACATGGTCACAAAGGGACCAACCAAATGACGTAGACAGTGGTATTTGTTGTTTCTAAATTAAATTATTTATTTGACGGAAATGTTGACGGTTTATTCAGAGGTAAGAGAATATAACTATAAGAGTTTTAATAATGTTGTTTCGACACTGACATGCATTATAACATATATTTTTCAAATTCCCTGTTCAGAAATTTGTTTTATAAAAATGATAAATTATATAAAAAAAGGTTTCCACCCCTTTTGATCAATTTGATCTTGGATAATTGTTTTTTTTTTAAGTTTTTTTTTTTTCATGTATCTACTCACATTAAAGCGTATTTACGGTTCCGTTACTTACAAATGTTTGGGTTTGACCTGTCCCGATGAAGATAAATTCAATAAATCGCTTTGGACGCACGAAATGTATCAAGTGTTTACTTCATTTACGATGTATGTCGGCAATTGTGTCTCTGTTTCTCATTTTTTTCATTTTTCATTTATTTTCATCAGTGACTGGACGGAACAGTACCAGTACAATCAACAAAACGATAGACGAGAATGATAATTTACAGCGATCTGCTACAAAACTTGGTGAAGACCTCACGCCTTACTTAAAAGCCTTATATGGATTGATAGCAGTAGTCTTACTGTTAAATCTACTGATAGCTCTGTACAGGTAAACATGACATATTAAATGCGCAATTTAAAAAAAACTAAAATCAATAATATTCTTTATTCTTCGACTCTTTGTATGTAGTATTTTTATTTAAAAAAAAACACATTTTTACGGTATCAACTTTTGTAAACTTTTCCAACACACTTTTCTACTCGCTATATATTCCATAAGGCAATGATGAGTGTGTTCTTTGAAGAATGAATTTACATTGATCCTTTTTATTATGTCTTAACCACTATAAGAAGCGTTCAGAGTCAAAAGACTTACAACGTTGGATGAATACAAATAAAGCGTAGTTAGATTTCTCGTTTGAATTGTTTTACATTTGTCATTTCGGGGCCTTTTATAGCTGACTATGCGGTATGGGTTTTACTCATAGATGAAGTCCGTACAGTAACCTTTAGTTGTTAATTTGTGTGTCATTTGGTCTCTCTAAGAGAGTTGTCTCATTGGAAATCATGCAATATCTTCTTATTTATATACTTATAACCAAAAGTCATAGAAAGAATAGGCAAAAACGTTTACAATTTAGGATAAACCTTTCCGTAGGAAGATGCAACCTAAGATCGTTTACACTTTCAAATTATTGCAGGCTGGATGAATACAAAACATTTCGTACAATATATCATTACCAATGGTCAATGCTCAAACGATGGTACTTTTGGAGACTAATAAGTTTTCTTGGTGGAAGTAAATCAAAGTAAAATATGTATCCCGTGTATCTAAACTTTGGTAGATAGTTGTCTCATTGGCAATCATATAACATCTCTATATTTTAAAATCAATACAGTTTTATTATTTGTAGTCATTATTTGACAGCTTGAAAGCTTCCTTCCAAAATAAAAGCGAATTTTACATGCAAATTGCACTTTCTCTTTGTTTGAATACATATACAATTATCCTTAGATATAGTATTGTATAGAAAATAGCATTAATGACAAAAGTTTTGCTCAAAAACTTCAAAAACATGACTCCGTTCCGGAGCATCTGAGATGAGATCGTTCGTGTTGCTTAGTCTTTAGTTTTCTATGTTGTGTTTTGTGTTCTATTGTTTGTCTGTTTGTCTTTTTTCTTTTTTAGCCATGGCTTTGTCAGTTTATGTTCAACTTATGAGTTTGAATGTCCCTCTGGTATCTTTTGACCCTCTTTTACAATGTTCAGTGGTTTTTTTTTTGCAGTGACACATTTAATGTAGTACAACAACAATCCGAGTTTTATTGGAGGCAGATACAGACTGATTTTCTCGAGGAATATAGTATCAAAACAGTATTTCCAATTCATCTCCAGTTACTTGCATTGCCGGGAATAATTACTGCAATTATATGGCTTTGTTATTCGAACCTTAGGGGGAAGTTATCAAATAAATATAACATGCATGAGGAAAAGGCAAAGCTTAACCATCGACCAATGCTTGTCAGAGGTATACCAATAAATTCATGAAACATTTATGTTCATGAAATCCTGTATTTTTGAAAATTTTGAGACAAATTACTAACTAGTGTTATAATCAATTAACAAACTTTTCCAAGTATAATATTGTTTTCCCTACAGATTGATTGCCATGATCAGTAAACGATACAATCTAATTGTTATGTATATGCATTTATAAATAAATTATGTTAAAAACACCTTGTATGTTTAGAAAATGTTGAGACAGTTTACTGATTAGTGTTAACATTCATTAACAAATATTTCAAAGTAGCATATTGTATTTGCTACAAATTTATTGACATTATCAGTAAACGATATATTTTAATAGTTGCCAAGTGACAAAACATAAATAAAATATTTTAAGTAGATGAGAATGATTTATATATGAAGATATGTACAATGGGCATGGTTATTAAACTGCTAAAAGTTGTTCTTATAAAAAAATATAATGACTCGATTATTTATCAACTCTTCTTTATATAAGCGTATCGCCCCGTACTCAAACATTTCAGTACCGATTAGATATTTGTCGTTGCATTTTGTAAAATGTCAGATGTTCAATTAAATCTTACATACAATTACTCATTTAATCTAATTGACAATAATTTTAATGTTTTCAGTTTTTCTGTATGATACTAATTATGATTTGAAGCTAAAATCGACAGAATATGCAGAAGAGAAAGGTGCGCTGGACAACAAAGGGTATATTTTCTGTTTTCTGCATTTATATCTATATAACAGAACGTTTTAGAAATATATAACTATTATTTGTCTTAATTTTTGACATCTACAATAGATTAATCTATACCCTTGGTATTGCATGTTATAAAAGCAGAATACTATAAAGGCAGACAACCATAGTCGGTTAGATATTATAAGCCTATATATATTTTGAAAATACTTTGAACGACAAAATTATTTTATATTTCTTCCTGTGTAACGTTTACATTTTCTGGCTTCAAACACGCGACTCTACACTAAGAGTAGATGTGAATGCAGTCACAGGATTTTAAATGTTTCGATCCTTTATGGGTTGATTTATAATACATATATAAGTAAGCAATGAATGTGGTTGTTAAATTTGATAGATGCTGTTTGTGCTTCTTTGATAAATGGTTGTTACCAATACAAGGTATTCCAAACTGTTGATCTAAAATAAGTTATAGTTATGCTTGAATTGAAATTGGTCTTTGTCTTAAGCCTGTGTCAAAAATAATTTAAATATCTTTACAATAATAAAGAACTCTTTGCTAGTCTTTCGTATTACATTGAATTTAATGGTTTTTATCATGTCTAATGACCAACGTTTTCTTTTCTTTCTTTTTCTTAGGAAAATAGACCTCGAAGATTTTGACGCAATTGCGGTAACTTTTCATTTTGATATTAGGGACAAACATTTTAACCTTTGAAAGAGAGAACAAACATTTTGCTGAATACATGTATGTACGCATGGACAGTCCATTTACAAAACAATTTTGCACGAGAAAATGTTGGAAACTAAAATATGATTCTCCAATTTATAAACAAGGGTCTATGGGAAAAGGATTCTAAAAGGTTCATTAAATTTTTTATATCATAACGGCTTTGCTCAAATGCCATTTGCTACATCCATTTTTAAATCCAATGCAAGAAATAAAGATATTTCGCAAACATAATGTGAATTTTGATGTGATTGTATATGACGGGCGTCTTGGACTTCAATTAGTTTGACTTGGAGCGGTTTAAATTAAGCTTAGCTGTTGATTATTTACTGTTTAAAATTGAATGATTGATTGATTTAATGTTTCTTCAACGTACAGTGAAGAAAAAGTCATGCATGTTCAAAGTTAACAATAATAAAATAGGTACATTGTAATTCCTGTAATTAGGGTCACACGAGTTGATGGACTGCCATATAAAACTGAGGGTATATTGGATAGGATCTGAAATGTTGCTTTGTAACAGACCACCAACGGACCGTTCACACAGTTGTTACAAAGGTTGTTAACTTGCAGAGAGCTTGGCACTTTTTGTACACGAGGTATTGGATTAAACGTGCCTTTTTCCACCGGACGTTCCTGCACAGCAAAACGGACGCCCAATTTAGTATTTATTTTATTGCCAATCACTTGGCGACTGTACCGTTACTTTCACAAACATATTCTTCTCTAAAATAACTGGGCAAATTGGAACCAAACTCTGCCACAATTATTATTAAGATATAATGTTTACACAATGTGTCCGATGAACCCGCTTGCAACCCAACAGGGCCGACATGGCTAAAAATAGAACGTAGGGTAAAATGCAAGTTTTGTCATTCAATTTATCTTGAAAGACAGCTATAGATACTGAAAATAAGATAAAATAGCAAAAATACCGAACTCCAATTCAAAATCAAAATGTGACAGAGTAAATTTTCAAATTGTCGAGATCTAACTACTTTCTGTTTATCTCAAAACTGTCGGACGACTTCTAATGAGATGTATTGCCCTTAAATGACAAATATTACTAAAAAAACAATGCAAAACTGACATTATGAAATTGGTTCTACTAATGTTATCATTTGTAAAAAAAGAATTTCAAATTGTCGAGATCTAACTACATTCTGTTTATCTCAAAACTGTAGGACGACTTCTAATGAGATTTATTGCCCTTTTATGACAAATATAATTAAAAAAAATCAATGCAAAACTGATATTGTGAAATTGGTACCATTAATGTTATCATTTGTAAAAAAATCAATCATCAAGACAAGATCTACAGTGATAACGACAAGGTCGGAACCGTCAGACAACTCTTTATAGAAACCATAATGGTACTTAAATGACGGTTTTTACATTTTTGTTGTATCTTAGCTTACATATACTACCTTGAAAATTTAAATAGATAAACAATCTTAGGTAGAATCAATATAAATAACAAAAATGATTAAAACGATCGGCAATCATTATACACGATCTAGAAATACGTCAGCATGGACAAAATCGTCAATCGACTTGTAAAATATTATTGCCCTTAAATAACGATTTGTATGTCCTTATATTTTTGTCTACTTTATTAGACAATATAAAAGAGGTAGAAACTTAAAAAAAAAAAAAAAGGAGCAAGGCAGAATTTACAAATGAATCAACATTTCAGACTTTGTCAGTTGACCCCTTTTCCTAAAATAATGCGTTTCACGCTTTTTGCGTGTATGGCAAATGCTAAAAATGATAAAAAGAAACTGTTACCAGTATCATGATCAGGAAGATATGCCTAACATCTATGCCAGGAAAGCCAAAAGCGTCAATCCACTTGATATAGGAGTATCATTTGTGTGTGGATACAGATAAACAAGACAGAAAAATATATAGTAATATAAGACAAAACATGATTGATTCCTGAACTATATTATAGTCAACAATGATAGATAGTGGCTTTCATTGAACATACATAGATCAAAGTTGTCCACTTTTTGATGACATCATGCAAAATGTTTTCATCCTCCGATGATGTAATGCTTTGTTTTATTTGTTGATTTCTTCTAAACTATGTTTGTGTATTAATTTTTTTACATAAACGTAAGAAGAGATGTAAGCTTGAGTGTGTGCATATAAAAAGAAATGTCAATCCAAGAAACAATTTTGGAATGTCTACTGTCGGAGTTGAGTCTGATTCATAAACAAACTTTCTGTATGAACTTATATTTTCAATCTAGATTTAAATTTGAAAAAAAGAATAAAGACTTCATATGAATCGAATATTTTATATCATGACCTTTTCAGACTATGAACAAGATAGCAGATAGTTTAAAAGATTTAAAAGAAAAGAAACACATGGTATGTGACTCATTAAGTTATGCAGATATTTGTAATTTGACCTCAAAAGCAAAACCTGCAAAGTGCATGACGAACTTTTTCACACAAGGTATCAAGTGTGTAACGGTGAATTAAATCTTGATCTGATTCCCATGGAGCATAATTCCTCTTTGGGATACGGATCCAAAGTTTGCCTCGTCGAGAATTGTATCCCTCCACGGTTTCGGATCGGGATACCCGGTCTGGTTGTGGCTTAGATTGTTTCTGCGAAATATGAATTTTTTTCTTTAAAAATGATTAACGTTTCAAAGTGTGAAATTTGAGATTTGAGTCCTATTAACACAATAAATTGAGTTTTATTTTGTGCATTGCACCTACAAAAAGGTGAGTTTTAGAGAGCTATTTGTTTATTTCATTTTTAATGAAACATAGGGTTACTGACAATAGTTATCGTTTTCATATTACAACATAGATTAACGAATGACAAAGAATTATGTTCAGAAAAATGTTGAAGATAACCATTATATAGTCAATCTATAGTTTGGACGAGAGATTGTGCAAGTGGAAGGTTTTCATGACCATTCATTTACTCTGTGGTACTTTTATTCTAAACGTGTGTCGTAAGCTTTTAGTTTGTATGTAGCATATTTTTTTAATGTTCATGCTGTTGTTGAATTATTGCAGATTGAAGAAGCCGCCATGTTTAGGATACTTTTATAATATAATTGAAAATGATATAGTGCATATTCGCAACAAAGATTCAATTTCAACTAGCCAAATTGTTTTCCGTTCATATTTGTTTATTTTTTCTTCAGAGAGAACTTGATTCGAAAAGAGCTGACAGGCGAAATCAAGAGGTATGTAAAAAAATAAAATCGTTCAAATTAGTACACTCCTAAAAAATGCTTTATTGTGTACTGATGTACTGCAATCGTAATGTAAATTAACTTAAAATGTCATAACTTGGAAAGAATCCAGATGGCTCGAAACTATACCATTGATGCGACACTAAAAAAAAAAAGATAATGACGGGGAAAATGTCACCTTACTGACAAATAAAATTACAATTAAACGCAAGTTTTTCAAACGTCGGAATTATGGTATAAATCGGCAAGTTCTAAACATTCCATATATTTATTGAGATATTGTTCTGCTTACACTGAATTAGGTGTAATAAAAATATTCTGTGGCTCTATTTATATGCATCCTGGAACATGCAAGAGGGTTAATGATTATTTGGAAGAAACGAACTAATAATCTGCTCAAGTCAAAGCCAAACAACTACATTCTTTTCTGTTGAAGATATTCATAATCGATAGTACATCCAAATCTAAGAAGTCCGTCTGACTGTACGGGATGTTTAATTATGTAGACACGCTTGGTAAGTATGCAGCAATAAAAAAAATTCGAAGCAACTCAACGAGGGTAAAATTAGTAATTTTTTGTGAGGCATAAAGTCTGTTCTAATGTAAGGCAATCTCTCTTTACACATAAAGGCAACAGTAGTATACTGGTGTCCAAAAATCATAAATCGATTAAGAGAAAACATTTCGGGTAACAAACCAAAACCGAGGGACACACATCAACCAAAATAGGAAAACAAAGGAACAAAAGGAGCACCGAAGTACAACAAAAACAAACGCCAACAAACATAGAAATGAACTATTTGATACCAACTGCATATTCCTGACTTGGTACAGGACATTTTAAGAAAAAATGGTGGGTTGAATCTGGTTTAATGGCATCACAAACATCCCGCTTTATGACAATGTTAAAAAATATCACTAAAACATTACGTGACAGAAATACAGCACAAACACACGCAAGAACATTCAAATCTTACATTTGCAGTAAAACAGCTGATCTGTAGCTACACCATCTACTTGCCACCATACACCATGTATTGAGTTGCAACCCGAGTTTAAGCCGACGTAAAAGCCATCACTAAACGATAGCTACAAATTCATGTTTTATATAGCATAGTTAAGCGAGTGGAATAGAGGCTAAACACAGTGTAGGTGGTATTGCCACAATATTACAGAAACAAGGGTTAACATCAGAAGTGAACAAAAACATGCAAATCTTACATTGTTGGACTCATTTCCAGGCTTAGTCTGATTACATTATAGTGGAACATGTATTCCTGTATAGCTCAAAAGTGGAAAATTGTTAAACATTTGTGTATGGTCAATGCATTGACAACCATATACAATTATAAAAAAAAATACAAATTTTTGAACATTTCAATATTATTGTTTACCTTTTAGACAATGAACAAACTGGAAAAGATAGAAGATAGTTTAAAAGATATACAAGAAATGAAACAAATGGTTAGATAATCATTCATTTAAATAGCTGCTAAGTATTTGATCAATATGAAAGGAAAAACCATTTTTACTATTTGATATTTCGAGCAAAACCCGCCTTATACGTGCTTTGATGTTAATATTATTTTTTTTTAATATTGTTTACCCAATAGATTGACATTTATAATACAAACTGAACCAATTTTCAATGTTTTGTTTTCTTCGTGACTGCTACAAGTGTATTGATGAGTTTTAAAGTAGAATTGTTTTTACTTTTGTGTTTTTTTCGTTGTTTTTTGTTGTTTGTTTTGGTTGAAGACATGTTTAGAACAAGTGTCTTCTTTTTATTTCAAATTAAGTTAAAGCCCTAAAGATGTTAAATATGAACCAATATAGAGATAATTGATTGTATCGTGAACTACAAAATGTAAATATTGCACTAAATATTTGCAAATTCGGGAAATCGACTCATGCATGATGTCCAAAATCCAATCTAAGGAGGATCATCCGTATGCGGAATGATAAAATACGCAGCCACGTCTTGTACGAGCGAAGACGTAAAATTACTCTTACAGCAACTATTTATAAGTTACTGAGCGGTTTGTTGCAAGGATATATTTTAACTCAGGCAAGAAATATATTTATACATACTGGTTAACAGCTTTATTACAGATATATCTGTTTTGTCTATAGTCCAGTTTGGCAAACTTTAATAACATTGCTTAATGTGGGAGATGCAAATTTGGTTATGTATTTTCAGCTAAACCCATAATTATCATGTAATGACACCTTATCCGAAACGTTACCATATATAACTTTTGTGTTCCTCCTTTTGTGTTTTGTCGGAATTATTGAATTGCTCTTGTTGTACGACATGAGATGAGAAACAAATAATGTTAAAGCATTTTCAATAAAGATACTCTTTAATGACTTTTTTATTCAAATCACGTCATATTCTACTGTGAACTATATATATATATAACGTCTCCTTTTTTTGAACCATCAAACATTTATTGTTTCTTAAAACGATTATTAAACGTACGTCGAGTGTTTCTTTATCTTTTCAGTTGATGGAAAGACAGCGAAATATGGAAATAATGTTACAAGAAATAATTAATAAGGTTTGTACTGCAATAAAATATGTTGTATTTTGGTGGAAAACATTCGTAATGTTATATTAACTGAGTTTTCAAACAAATCCGACATGATGGAGTGAAGAGTTTTTTGTTAGTATTATTTCTGTGAAATCTGGAAATGTTTGATTGTACGTGACGAATACTGTTTTTTTTTATATATTTCCCTTCTGAATTAATGAAGGCCGTACGGTGACCTATATTTGTCAATTTCTGTGTCATTTGGTCTCGTGCGGAGAGTTGTCTTATTACCAACATACCACATCTTTTTTTTTATATAAACTTTCATATGTATGGGATATTTTGATATTTTGACCAGCTACCAGTACTTTTTTAGTGTTAGATACAGGAATGTCCAAGTCACGTAAAGCAAAATTATGTTATTCCTTCTTAAGTAGGAGTTTTAATGATGTTATAAAATTTCGTAAACATGAGGATGCAATGATTGTTGTGTTATACTGCTGGATCAATTGATTTATAAAGATTGATACATCATTTGAAAAATTACTAATAGACGATCGCTTCAGATAAGTCAAACAAAAGGCCCACCTGAGCCTGTATTGCTCACCTGATGAACAGACAATGCTGAAGATGTCATTAAGGATTTTGTTTCTCCTGTTGATCTTTGTTTTCAATTTATACTTTCAAGCTACATTTGTTAGCTTCTATAGTCTTTGAGATAGCAATAATACACCAACAAAAATCTAGATTTCATCGTGAAAATCCACTTCATACGTTTGAATTTTTCTGAATTTATAAACATAGATATATTTTGCCATGCTGATTTTTCTTATGCACATCTTTAATTTGCACAGTTTTAACATAATGCGCCCCTTTTTCAATAGAACATTAAATATTCGGTTAAAGGTTATATTTTGTTGACATTAGTGTAAAACAAATTGAGCGATTTAAACAGTTAAAATACTGAAAAATATTGTTCACGTGCCACTTATTTGTTTCAATTAGAACAAACACAGCTCCTATAAATCTCAAGATACCTACTTATTAAACTCCTAAAATCTTTCAAAATAGATATGTAGGGAAGGGCAATACATACAAACACGTTATTGCATTTATGTGTAATTCTTTTGAATAATAAAACTGTTTGGGGTGATGTTTTTTTTTTGACAAATGTAAACCATTACAATAAACAACTGTGAAATTCGGTATAACTTTTCTTGTTACTCCTTTTGAAAGTATGTTAGATTTTTATGAGATTAAAGAAAAGAAAGTATTGAATTTCATGTTTGAAATCTAGACTTACGACTAAACTCCTATAGTTTTCTTCTTTACCTCAAAAGTTATTAAACCAGACAATTTTGATTTGCATGGAACCCAAACCATGATGTCCCGATATTCTGTATAATTTGATTTCACCTAACTCTTAAATATCTTAATTTCATTTTCATATGTTAATGTCTTTGCGTATTTACGCTTTCAGTTGGATATAAAAACAAAAGGAAAAACTAATCGAAATACGGTTGATATTTCCGACGAAGCAAAAGAATAAACTACACTCTTGATTTGTTGTCGACTGTAAGTAGACTTTAACGATCTAAATCATATGGTCACATTTAAAGAATGGATTGATTGAAGGATGTTTAATCGGTTTTAAAGTGACATATTCTACAATCAAACATTTATGTCACGTCATCATGAAAACAAAACACCAACATACATATTACAGCAGTTTACCGCTTCAAAAATGTGATCCTTTTACTGTCTTCATAATCGCAACGACCCGATGAATACACTAAAATATTATAAAAAAGAAGTACACTCTTGTTCGATTCAATTATAATATATCTTATGTTACATATCATTAATAACGTATAAAGACACATGTCATTGTTCATTTCATTTAAATTTGAATAAAATCACAAATGTTGTATTTTGGTCTGTTTTTGTGATTATAGAAAGCTTATGTCGTTAAATATGGTTTAACCAGGTAAGTTCCCATGTTATATATCACAATCTGAGTATATTGCGATAACGAATATACTAAGTATGACTATGATTAAAAGGAAAATTGTACAATACTTGTGATCTTTTAACATACGTAGATATGGTTTTCATTTATAATGCTTGCTACGTTTATCAGTTGTATGTGTGTTCTTGTCGATGTATCTTCTGATACGGACATGGTTGGGTTAAGTAATGATTAAATAAGATACATCTAATTGTTCAATACAGATGTAACAGTATCCACAGAACATAGTTCAAATTCTTGCTCTCATTGTGCTATAGAACATTTATTTTTTTGCAGATTATTAACAATGTGATATAAAGAAACTATTATGAGACAAAATGGTGACAAGAATTCATCTGAGTTTATTAACACCACTTTGTAAATGTGAATTGTCTTGCTTTTCTTATGTGTACCTTATGGCATCGTACCACTACCATGATTGGAATTGTACAAACTTGTATCATCAAGAACTACATGAACTTGTTACTCACATCAGCATATGGTGTTATTCAAGCTTAACGTGTCATCTTGTTTTTCATAAATTTTCTACATCGTAAAGAGTTAAATGTTACCTTTATCGGCCCTCCGATATTTCAAATCTCCAAATTGTAACATCCTGTATGTAATCGCTGGGTAAAATTGCCCTATTTTCTAATACTCTTAACTTTTTTGGATCTTTCCTTATACTTATATTTATAGCAAATAAATTAAATCATTATATTTTATAAAAAAAAAAAACTATCTATAATTTGGAACCAAGATAAAACAATTGTATTTGAAAACATTATTACTTTAAATACATATGTACTTGCTTTTAATTTCGTGTATCATTATTATACTTTCCGAACCATAGATATATTTTTAGTATTTGTTGGTAATTGTCACCTATATAGTTTGGAAAATGAGAAACGACTCACGAAACTAATGTTCACTGTATAGATATTCCGTGGGTTAATTTTAAGCTTAACACGTAAACTTAATGAGACTATATGAAATTATACAACAAGTGTAAACAATATGTTATTGTGATACTAATGTATATTGCAAGGAACGTAGCAATATTCATCAATATTTGTTGCTGTGTTTTTGTTTGTTTGTTTTTTTGTTCATAAGTTTTCTTTTTGTTATTTGTTTTATTTGTTCGAATTATAATTTATTCCTATTGATCTTTTTTTTTTAATTGTATTTACCTTATATATAACAAGACTATTTTTTTAAATTTTTTTTATTTCATTTGTTAAATATATATAATCATCGGATATATATTGAAATCATTTTTTCTGCTGTTTTATATGATAATATCGCTTAATTTAGACTTTTGATTTAGTAACTAAATATCTAGTTTACTTTATACTGTTCTAAACAAGACTTTTTTGTTGAATAAACTGAATGTGACTTTTTTCCTCTGTAATACTGGTTATTTCAAGCATTTTTGTCAAGTTTGTCATAATCAGTTCAATAGTTTAAGAAAAATTTGGTATACTGTAATCTACAGCGATTCGAGCAAAATTTCTTCGAAAAATCCAAATCAAGCCGCATCATGATAGAATATAGTGGAACCAATAAATGATCAATTTTTATCTCATCTGCCTACAAATAGTTGAACATGATACAAAAGATGACTTTAGGATGATAAATACCACTAATGGACCTCGTTGTCTTCATTATAAGGTCTCTTTTTGTCCATTTATACATCTCTTTTCCTAAAAATTACAACTTTTTAGGTCAATAAATTAAAATGTTGGGGTAACTTTCACTTATTTATGATAGAAATGTTATGATAAATGAGTAATTGAAGTATTCAAGCTGAATGAACTATCCATATAATAGTTTACTGTCTCCAAGGAGGTTTGAATAAGTTCTTACGTAAACCTTGAATTTACGTCGCGTTCCAGAGAGGGACATTAAAAGCTTCTTTTTTAGTGAATAATTTGTTGTTACTGCTTTAAAAATATTGCATTTACTTATAACTTTATTTTTATTAAATTATTATTTAGGATTAAAATCTAATATAAGATCAGAATATAAGAAATAAGAGAAAAGGCTCCCCAAAACACTGTGTATAGCTTGCTCTGTCTACTAAATTTCATGGTATAGTCCTATTTCAAGGAAATTTTCTCATAAAATGTGTTTTTGAGACTAAATCCACCCAGAATATTTAATTTTTTGAAATATTTTACTTAAATAGCAAGAAATTTTAACAAATCAGAGTACCCAGAAGGTCAAATTTGCATGTGCAGCTTCCCATATTAAGAGTAATACCACCATTGATTTTCCACTATTAGTCTTTGTTAAATTTGCATTTTTCAAATAATTGTGCAGAATTATCTTTGTTTCCAAAAAATAAATACTTGACATGAGTAAAGTTATATCCTGTCCAGTACTTTAGTAACCATGTAACCTCAAGTTTCCAAAATATTCTATAGAAACCCCAAATTAAAAAATTATGGTGCTTTGAAATACCCAAGATATATATTTATGATCCAGAAATTTTTAACTGCAATGAAATGTAGGATTAATTACCTACAACTGTCAAATTCAAGGGAATATTTTTTCGACCCTTTTTTTTATGCAACCGGATGTGCGTACTATGATTTGGTGGTATTACATCTCAGTATATCAAAATATTCTATTAAACGATGACATGAAAACATCGATTATAACTTGAAAACTACAAATAGTTAAAACTCACTGGTTCCAGTTGATGTTCAAAATAAGACCCTAGAAATATGCATCTAATATAAAAAAAAGAAACAAATAGCTGCTTGTATTTCATTTTTATATATTCAATACGAAGTACTACTGCATATGCCTTTGATATGTAACGAGAAAAATACATATTTTTTAAATAATTAGTAACAAAAAGGAAAAAGTAGTTCTTTCGGTCTACATTTTTGCTCCTTCGTAGCTTATATATGTATACCTACTTATTTACGACATATTATAACAAAAGTACATACTTTTTTAGTAGAAATGATCACAGATCTAGAATATTTACAAGAATTAAGTTTACATTTTTTTAAATAAACCCGAGTGAGAGAGAGAGAGAGAGAGAGAGAGAGAGAGAGAGAGAGAGAGAGAGAGCATTTATATGCCCCCGCCGCTAGGCAAATGTCGCATTTAGTTTCACCCTTGATCGTCTGTCCATCCGTCTGTTAATTTTTTTCCGTTGGTCAATCCGTCCATCTATTATCCGTCGGTACTTCCATCCGTCCCAAAAGTATTTTCACATATTATAAGCAAGCCTAAGCGGGTGCAATTGTGTCCTCAGACACATTCTGTTTTTTTAATTTTTATATATATATATACTTTTTATTATGCCTACAACGGCTATAATTAAGGGTACATGTTTTGTGTAAAATTTTACATCAATTGTATGCATATTTACATTAAATCATTGTGTGTTTATTGTTTCTTTAGTATATTTTGTTTCACATATATAATAGATCACGGACAACCTTTACAAACTGTTTTCTTAATTGTTTTAGTACATTGTACTATTGCTACACTCTGGTTTTTAGTCATAAATTCAAAAAATCCCTCATCAAGCCGCTATCTTTTTAATATCGATGATTTGAAGAAAATCCCTCTTCTTTTTCACTGTTGTTATTTATTATATCTGTATTTCTCCTATCTTACTACCGTTTTTTTTCCTGCAAAATTGATGTTTCATTGCAAAAATCAAAGTTCTCTCATGCAATATTGCGTCATTAAAATAATAATTTTTGTTGTGCATCAGGATTTATGGCATTTAAAAAAACATTTGAAGAATTTTTCACAAAGGACCTTTATAAAAAGAATTTCTCAAATAGGTTGCATGTCCATTTTAGTAGTAGTAAAAAATTGTAAAGGTTTTCATAGCAATGTTAACTATCCATTTTTAGCCCTAAATGCGCATTATGGTGATTTGTATTGAGGAATTACATATTAAAAAGTAAAATTACAAAAATACTAAACTCCGAGGAAAATTCAAAACGGAAAGTCCCTAATCAAATGGAAAAATCAAAAGCTCAAACACATCAAACGAATGGACAGCAACTGTCATAATCCTGCCTTGGTACAGGCATTTTCTTATGTAGAAAATAGTAGATTGAACCTGGCTTTATAGCTAGCTATTATTGATTAAAAGGTTAAAGGAAGCTAAATGTTATCCAATGAGAGGAACGATCTCATTTCCAATTCGCGCATCAAGGGTTTTTTGAGTGAATTTTAACATGTACTCTTGTCATCATTCTTTTAATTAAAGGTATGGTAAGGCTATTTTATTTAGCATACTATTTTAGGAAAGACACAAAAAAACACTTAATTGTGTGCAGATAAAATCAATATATTATTTAAATGTTGTCTTAAATCTTTACTTTCAACCTCCAGGTATCTAATTTTTAAAACTTATAATCATATCCGTTTGAACTATTACCAAAAAGCAGATTTCAATATCACCCTTCCAAATAGATATTGGGTTGAAAGATGGTGCATACCAAGATGTTTACAAGATTCAATGTGTTTCTAGCTAAAGTCTGGATGATCGATATTCCAATATGTACTTATTGTTATAATCCTCTAGAAGCAATATGTTACGAGTAATCATAATGAGCAAGACGTGTATTTACTTACTGAATGAAGATAGGTCGAATATAGACCTTATGTCCATTCATTTCCAGGTCCATCTCGTAATTTAAACAAAATTCATAGGATACATGTTGTATCTCTTCCATTACAATTTCTAATTAGTAGAACACTTTTTTATCTCAGTTTTTCTCATGTTGTATTTTAATTAACTGAGTGAGAACGTACTATTTGCATTATGTATGCTATTGTTTTATCCGTCTATAAAACAATAACGAACGGTGATGGTTAAGTACTGAGACCAATTGCAATACCACCAACTGTTGCCGTTCTTTTCCCAGTTCAGTATCGTAGTGATTTGTTGACTTAACCTAGATCTTAAGAAAAAGAAAAACTTTGACATAATATGGAGTATTTTTACATGTGATAAGCGATTTTGTTACCAGTTAGCATAAGTTTCTTCACGGTTGACATTTAACAGGTACATATTGACATTTTGATATTCCTCACATCAAAGATGTTGTTATTTCACATTCCTAATTTGAAACTTCTCACTTCAAATTTGACGTCGACGTTGGAATAGTGAAATTCCTATTTGAATTGATAAATGTCAATTTTTATGTTATGATGAGAACTATTAAGCTAGAAATGAGTAATGTAAACAACTGAATGTCCTTTTTGGTGTTTGGTGATAGCCATTCAGAAATCACCGATTAATACCACACGTGAGTTCCGTCCTGAAGAAGAATATTTAAACCAAGTAAAAGAGGGACGAAATATACCAGAGGGACAGTCAAACTCATAGATCGAAAACAAACTGACAACGTCATGGCCAAAAATAAAAAGACAAACAGGCAAATAATAGTACAGATGACACAACATAGAAAACTAAAGACTAAGCAACACGAACCCCACCAAAAACTGGGGGTGATCTCAGGTGCTCCGGAAGGGTAAGCAGATCCTGCTCCACATGTGGCACCCGTCGAGTTGCTTATGTTATTACAAATCCAGTAAATAGTCTAATTCAGTAAGTCACATTCGTGAACAGGGAAGGGTATTGTAGTTACGACATAAGGAACATATCCGATATCATCTGTGAAACGCTTATTCCATAACGGTCAACCAACTCGTGTTGGCGTCCATAACATTTACGAAGGGATGACTTCAACTTCACCATTTGGAACTCTTAGTTTAATAGCTTCCTTGTGCGCAGCAATCCTCTATCAAGGAAATCATGATAGGAAACACAAGCCCGGGAATATCGTATCAATTGGGAGATATATACTCCGTATGCAGGCGCTGCTGGAATGTTGCTACATAGAAATGGAAAGTTCACAATTGGGAAGCTGAAATCATCTCTTTTGTCGTAAAGTTTTGTTTTCAACCGACCCTCATTGTCAATTTCTAGATGTAATTCAAGATATGAGGCAGACTTAACTGTATCTGTAGTATCCTTTATCTCTAGTTCGATGGGATAGATTCGTTCAACATAGTCACCAAGATTTGTATTATTTAGTGAGAGAACATCATCTATATAGCGGAACGTAGAGTTAAAGGATATTGCTAACTTCTTATCTCTCTTCCTAAGAAGCTCCTGTATGAAGTCAGCCTCATAATAATAAAGAAACAAGTCGGCAAGAAGAGGGGCACAATTGGTTCCCATTGGAATTCCGACAGTCGGTTGAAAAACACGTCCTCCAAACGTAACAAATATGTTGTCAATCAAGAAATCAAGCATCTTGATAATGTCAGTTTCAGAGAATTTTTTGTTTGAATCAGAGTTATTCTTTACAAAGTAGGATTTATCCCTCCCCAAGACAAGATACTTGTATCTACGTTCGCCATTCTTTTTAATGAAACAAAGTAATACCAACTCTTTCAATTTGTCTTTAGTTTGGAATGGGGAATACTTGTGTAAAGTGTAGAAAAGTCAAATGTTTTAATACTATTGCAAGATGAGAGAGTCTTAGATTGTATGTACTCTAAAAGATCTTGGGAATTTTTTAGTATCCACATCTGATTCACGGCACCTCTAGAATAGGCAGTTTCACAATAACTTTGGAGCCCGGCTTTGATTGCTGATAAAATAGATGTTAATAATTTAGAAAGAGGTTTCGTGGAGCACTTGGAAGACCCAGCAATATACCGTTGTTTGTAAGGACACTTATGTAGTTTAGGTATCCAATACAGTGATGGAAGATCCAGTTCTTCGTCTTTGGTTGAAATTCCAAAGGAACATAGAACAGACCTATGATTATCTAAAACTAATACATGTATATATATTTTCTAGCTTAATGTAGTTTGAAGTGAATTCCTTACCCTAATGTCAATCTCTATTACTGATAAATTAGTTTGACATGAATCATCATGTCTGTCTGTCTGTCTGTCTGTCTGTCTGTCCGTCCGTCCGTCCGTCCGTCCGTCCGTCCGTCCGTTCGTCTGTCTGTCTGTTTGTCTCTCTGCCTATCTGTTTCTCTGTCCGTCCGTCACACTTCGTATCCGGTATAAAACTGTTGAACCGATGAATCATGTTTGATCTAACATGGAATGCAGATTCATCATAGGCTGGAGATGTATCATATACCAAATTAAGATCAATTTGACGTTAACCTGACTTTGACCTTTGACCCCTATTACGATAAATTCTTGTCCAATTCGTGACGGGTTGTACCGCAAAACTTGTAATGCAGTTTTACTTTTAGCTAATACCTTTTACACATATTATAGTAGAAATTTTTATACAGTAGAACTAAGATTGACCAAAGCTGGTATGCTGATACATTATGGGATGGGTATGCGTCATGTATCAAATTCAAGTAACTATGCCCATTGGTAGTAATTTATTGTCTGATTCATAGTGTTGGCATAACTTTTGTACCATAGAACTACTAGTATTGAATAAGCTCATTACATTTACATCACTGCAGGGTGTACTTAACAAATTGTCTAACTCCTTTGATGTTATCATTGCAAACATATGGTATTGCAGTACCTAGTTCCCTTAACCAGAAATTTTCTCTATCTTTCCGGAAAAGTGTACTTATTATAGGGCTTTTGGTGAGATGATAAATTTCTCGATGATGCTTACATTCATATATAATGAAATATCATGGTCCGGTTGTTTCAAATGGATATAATTTAAAGAATCATTAATTGCGGATCTTCATTATCAGACTGGTGTTGTATCATCCTTTTACGCAAAGGTTGTCGAGTTTCACCAACATTAAGTAGCCCACACAAAGTTTATTTCCGTAAACGACATTGTCTACGGATCAAAGTGGGTTTACAAACTTCACTAATACTTGTTTTTGAATTGGAACAGAATATATCACCACGACATGAGCAATACGAGAGTCTGTGCGAGGTAGTCCCCTCCCATGTATTCGAACAACGTCATTAGTATCAATATATTCACAAGCTCATTAACCAGATTGATCAATTCATTCGCTGTTGAGTTGCTCTCTCCGTTCGGTGTACAATTAAAACGGATAACATGACGACAACCATACTGCTCTTAGTAATCAAAATCTTCGCCTTTATTTTAGATCTTCTTATTTAATTTATATGTACCGAATAAGCATAAAGTCATAGTTGCTTGCATGGTTTTGTCTATCTCTTTATGTATAAAGAAACGTCCCACCACCATTTTTTTTATATTTTTTGTTTGTATCACAATTTGGATATTTAGAACTTCCTACAATGTGCGAAAGGCGTTTTCGAATATTTTTTCTATTGAGTATGTTCTTTCCTTATCTATACGCCTACAAGCCTTTCTATCTCATTCAAACCAATTTTTGCACTAACTGAATTATGATTAATAAATTTAAAGTGAGCTAATTTTACGTATGGCGTTTGATTTACAACTTATTTTTTTTTTGGACAAGAATGATGTCTATTTAAGCTTTTGTACGATGTACTGGTCCCATTAAAGGTAAACATTCTTGCTTCAGGATTTAAAGTTATTCAAGCGTCGCATGAATTGTTTCATAAAGTGATATTTTTTATATGCCAAAACCTATGTCATAACGATAATGGTCAGGATCTCCACAAGATCCTTAGCTTTTTAGATGCACAAATAGTTTTCCCTCAAAATTAATGGAAAACCAAACTTGTTTTAATTATCCATTGAAATGGGTTTGAAAAAAAACCCACATGTTCTATATTATTATAGTTGATATAGTTTTAAGGATTCATGCATTTAAGAGACAAGTTTATGATTCTTTTGAACGCTTCATCAAAATTTCAGAAATAATCAGCCTTATTATATTTATGACATTGGGTAAAAGTTAACTAAATGTTTTAGTCGCCAATAAAGCAAGCATAAAGAGATTTTTTAAAACTGCAATTCCGCGTGCAATCGCTCCAACTATTTTTTTCTTTTCTTTTTAATTGTTCAATTGCAGCTGTACACGAATTCGTTTCAGGTATATTATATCGTTATTTCTATTACTTTACCATTGACACACTCCTTTACGTTTCTCTTAAAAACATAATTAATGTATAAAAATTTAATGTTTGCTATCATGGTTATTTCAAAAAACGTCATATAAATTTAAAACAAATAATATTCAAGTTATCATTTTTTCCTTCATTTTCGACGAAAAAACTTTCATTTTACAATAACAATTGTCGGGTTATATGTATAAGATTATATACATTTTGACGGGTGTGTATTGCATCGTCGTATGTATCATATGTTTATTAACAATTCAAATAATAAAAAATTGTTTTAAATGGTATGCTATTCATTACAACAAACATGTTGAGAATCATAGGACTTTAACCCTCGTATTTGACATTATCGCACTTACTGAATTCATAATCGAACTGTCACATGACCCACTTCTGGTATTCACTATTCATAGTTCGGTAGTATTTTTGCTTACTCGGTCGTTTGAAATCGTGAATCCCTTCGCATGCACCATTAACGTATAATCAATTTAAATATTAGGTTTAAAGTGTTTTTTATACTATGAGATTATTTCGATATAACACTACATTTAACATACACAAAGACATATAATATCTACAGAAACATACAAATAAAACACTAAAAATCGTAATGCATTTCAGAAATAGATCATGCAGATATAGCAAATCGGTATACTGACCAAAATAGTATAAAAAGTAAAATAGTAAAATGACATTGTTTCTGTAGTTTATGATATATCATATTTGTAACTTGAATACAAACCTAGCATCAACATTTATCAAATTGAATATTCAAAGTTCTGTGTCCTTAGAAATTTACTACAATTAAGAAACTTATCTCTGCTCACGTGTATTGAGCTTTCAGATATATCAGATGTATTTTGGTTTAATTGTAATGCAATATCCGGATAATCTTTGATAGTTTATTAAACAGTTGGTTAATGTTCCCAGACTCGGTACAAAAGCTTGTTGAGCTTTGATCCCAGTTAAATCATTTTGACGTATTGTTTGATGATTATTAACATGATGAGAGTAGTTTCACACATGAATCAGTGCAATAATATTTGTATTTTTTAAGTACGAACCACTGATAATGGCTCATTAGAATAGTCATTTATTTATGCATAATCGATTCGAGATAAAAGTAAAATCTGGTCTACGAAGACCTATCCAGAAATGATGAGATCAGAAGACGTCAAATTGAATCTCTGAAATTATATGCTTGGTATGCTTTCAGTCGTTCTTTAACGAAAACAAATTTAATAGTAGTCAAAAGCAACAGTTCTCCATTCTTATTTTCATCCCGGTTGCTATTTTTATTTTGCAGAGCTTCAACCATGAAGACTTTTGCGTTTAATGATATAGTTTGTGTGTATGCTTTAATATGACATTTATCCTACATTACAATGTTAAGCGCAAAACATACATCAAGAGGGCAATAATCGATATGATCAAAGATCTGCAATTAAAAACAAACTATCAACTACATACACTTCGCATAGAAGTAACAGCAAAACAGGAAAAAAAGTCAGCAATGTTATGTGTTCGAAATTTTAATACAAAGTTTCAGCGGTTAGGGAATTAATTTATTTAATGATTGAACAGGAACAATCAATATGACTATAAGTACTTTATATTGCTATATATGAAAATAAACTCACCATAGATACCAGGATTGAAATTTTATATTATACGCCAGACGCGCGTTTCGTCTACAAAAGACTCATCAGTGACGCTCAAGAAACCAAGAGGGTTTAAATGAGAGAGAGAGAGAGAGAGAGAGTTTTGACATTCCACAAAAACCATTCATTTGCACACTATAAGGGGTATTGTAGGTTAACTTGTTATTAACAAAGCACATTATGTAGCAACACACTAGCTATTGTCATGCAGTAAATGGCAAATAAGATTAAAAAAGAAACTTGATATTCTTTTTGAATACCTTTCCAGATTGAATTCGGTCAGGTGTTTTGAATATGTTAAATAATAAGTCGTGTTTCTTAAAAGCAGAAGATACATCATTTCGTGGAAATATATAGATACGAACCATCATTCATTTTTTACAATAGGTGCCCAACTTGCATACTTTTATAAAATGTTCATTGTTACTGGTAAAACTGTCTAACAAGTAGTAAATGTAAGTACGAACCCTATTATTATCATGTTTTCATTTTTGCCTATTATTATGAAAAGGTTTAATAGATAGAAAGAAATTGTTTAAATTTTAAGTTTTGTTTAACTTCATTTCTAGCCTACCTAGTCGAAAAGCCAAGTTAGATTTTCTCATCATTGGCGTCCATCGTCCGTTGTCGTCCGTCTTAGTCGTAGTAGTCCGTCATCGTTGAATTTTACAAAAAGCTTCTCCTCTGAAACTACTGGGACAAATGTACTCAAACTTGACCACAATCAGTATTGGGCTATCTGATTCAAAAGATGTGTCCAATGAACCCGTCTGCCAAACAAAATTGCCCACATGGCTAAAAATAGAAGTAAGAGGAAAACTGTAAGTTTTGTTTTGATCTTGAAAACCGTTATGAATAGAGGCAATCAGACAAACGAAGAAATTTTGAGAGATTTACTGCTGTGTATTTTCGTCAAAATTGCGAGACAACTTTTTGCAAGAGTTAATGCCCTTAAATATAGAATTTAATCATTTTTCATTCCATTTTTGTCTATTATCATGAACACATTAATAGACAGAGAGAAGCTGTATTCAGCGAATGCGACCAGCAAGACAAGATCTACAAATGAGTTTATATGATCAAAATTGTCAGATGACTCCTTATTGGAGTGATTGCCCTTTAATGATAATTTTTAAGATTTTTATTGGGTTTTTTTTTTTTTAATATCTCCCAAAAATGTTTTCCTCTGAAACTACTAGTACTACGGCAAAATTTACGACACTACAAGTATGTCTATCATCTTGAATAGAGAACATTTAACAGGGTCCAAAATAATGAGAAAGTTGAGATCCATATGCTTCCCGTTTACGCCAAAAAGTGTCAAACGACTTCTTATGGGAGTTATTATCCCCAAATGTCAACTTTTTTGTCAATCATTTTGAAAATTATAATAGTTACATACAAAGAAACTTGTATTAGAAAATGTGGTTGACATTACAAGGTTTTTGCCATTTATTGTACATGAAATATATAATAGATAAATAAAAAGTTAAATGATATTAATATCACAATGGTGGGTATAATGCTATCACACATATATGTAAGTGCCATTGTCACTTATGTATTAAATACTTCTCTTTTCGTTTGTACGTATTCAATGTGTTAATTGCAGGTTACAATGCTGTAAAAAGAGACAATGCAATTTCCCACGAGAATACCCTTTACGGTTAAAATTGTACCACTTTTACTATGAATTTTCACAAAAAAATATATCCTAGAATAGAAAGATCATAAATTATGCACTTTTTTTTTCAAATGTCAAAAAAGAGCTATGCGGCATATTTTCAACATTTAGATGCCCCGACATTCTAAGGGTTCAAACTTATACTAAAATTCTGTACTACCCCTCACTTCACTTTGGATCTTCTACAGATTTCAATTGACCGCTTTGCATGTGTATATTTACTGGTAACATTTCTAAATTATGTCTTTACGAGATGATAAATAGAGATCATATCTTGGAACCAGAAGGTAAACAATAAAAAATATCTATGAATATTATATATCTCCCTAAATAGTCGGGGTTTGTGAAACAGCTGTATTTACAAAATGCAGCTTGTACGTGGAATTTTTCTTTTGTGGGGAATATTTCCCTTCGAAATTCCTTATTATCGATTGAAGTAGATGTGTTACATAATACAATGTAAAGAATTGTTAACGAGAAAATTATGACCTAATTTATGAAAAAAAAAACATTAAAAAAAAACAAATATGATAAACAGTAATGAACTACTGAATTACATGCTACCGACTTGAAATAGGCACAAATGAAGTGTTGTAATGTTAAAAATGTTGGTGATCATCAACATAATCTTAACGGTAACGGTAAGACTTATTAAAGGTTATCAATAGTCGTTTTTAAATATTTCAAATGCTAAGGCAATGATGCGTGATATCAATATTTTTAAAACATTTAAAAAGCCTGGTTTCCTTGAACTCTTTAGTTTTAAGGGTTAAATCTAATGTTAACCAATACATATAGGTAAGAAGAAGTCTATACCAGGAAATTCATTAATCTTTAGAAATAGAAATGGGATTGGTTGTAAGAATAACTTACATATTTTAAATAGTTGTATTTCAGTGGCATTGAAATTTATGTAAATGGCTTGTTTATCAAGTGTCAATAAAAGCGCGATGAACTGTTTTGCCCTTCTAGAGTAAATAAACCGTTTATGTAGGCAGCCAAATATAAATGAATGCCTTCATATTTAAAACCAAATTGACTAAAAAGGCCCAGAAATAACGATATAATATGAGACATGAAACTTAATCGTGTACAGAGGCAATTGAACAATTGAAACGAAAAGAACAAAAAATAGTGGGAGCGATTGCTGTATTTCCGAGTAAAACATTTATTTCACATTTACCCAATGTCATAAATATAATCTAAGCTGAATAATTCTGAAATTTTGAAAAAGTTTACAAAAGAACAAGAAACAAACATAAACTTGTCTCTTAAATGCATGAATCCTTAAAATCAAAGCAACTATAATAATATAGAACAGTAGGGTTTTTTCAAACCCATTTCAATGGATGATTAAACCTAGTTTGGTTTTTCATTTATTCTAAGGGAAATTTAATTGTGCATCTAACAAGCTAAGGATCGTGGTGGAGATCCTGACCATTATCGTTATTACATAGGTCATGACATACAATGTATAAAAAATATCATTTATAAAACAATTGATGCGACGCTTGAATAACTTTAAATCCTGAAGCAAAAATGTTTACCTTTAAGGGGACTAGTACATCGTACAAAAGCTTAAATAGACATCATTCTTGTTAAAAAATATCTTTTAAATCAAACGCCAAACGTAAAAATCGCTCACTTTCAATTTATAAATCATAGTTCAGTAAGTGCTAAAATTGATTTGAATGAGATAGAAAGGCTGGTAGGCGTATAGGTAAGGAATGAACATACTGTTTAGAGAAAATATTTGAAAAACGCTTTTCTCACATTGTTGGAAGTTCTTAAAATCAAAATTGTGTTACAAACAAAAAATATTAGAAATTAGCGGTGGGATGTTTCATTATACATAAAGAGATAGACAATACCATGCAAACAAACTATGAGTTTATGTTTATTCGATACATATAAATTATATAAGGAGAACTATATCAAGGCGATGATTTTGATTATTAAGAGTAGTATGGTTGTCGTGATATTATCCGTTTTAATTGAACACCAAATAATAGAATCTGAGTTATATAATGTTCTTTAGCTGTTATTAAAAACCGTTACATGAAATTAAAACTACAAATTATAACCATATAACCGCTTTTTTTATTCTTATTTTATTTTTGTTAAATCTTGTGATATCATGTTTTATTAAAGAAAAATATACAACACTGTAATTGTTTTCATAAATATACACAAGACGCATTCATGTACTAAATATCTATTTAAATACCTTCCATTCAATGCATTGTTAAAAGATTAAATAGATGTTTAAAGCAATATTGCTATCAACTTAATTCATCAGTAAAAGACGAGACTGTACAATTACCACGAATTCATTTTAAATTCATGTATAAAATGATTTTTTTTTTATTCATAGTTAATGATTTTAAATGTGCGAATAACTTTGTTTAAATATCATAGTTGAAGTAAGAGTCATCAGATGTTGGTATCGTATAATTAGCGATAAATTGAAAACAATTGTTTATATAGACGTCTGTTCATTTTAAAAGTGTAAATTTCAAAAGCAAAGTGCGAAACAGAGCTAAGTATTCCTTTTTTTTTATATATGATTCGTGGACGACTATGTATGTCACTAGTAAAAATAATCAAAAACACAATAACAAAAACAAAAATTTGTTTATTTAATTTTGCCTTTAATTTTATGAAAAACAGGGTAAACTCCATCTGAAGACATCTTTCATGTTGATCACTTATAATACTATTTTCAGCTCTAGTTTACAGGAGTTAAGACGTTAATTTCAAATGTATATTTGTATAGTTGTAAAATGACAGTTCGTTGGTCGAATACGAGGGTAAAAACAAAATGATTAGTTTAACATTACGTTTATAAAGTTCATATGATGTGTTTTGAAATAGCATGTATTAATATAAATGGGTGATGTTTTAAACAGAAACGTAATGGTGCGTGTCTTTGGTCCATGAATAGAACTTACAAATAAATAAAATACAGGAAACTTATTCACGTACAGAAGTAATTGAAAAGTAATAATGTTGGTGAGTGCAATAGCACCTGGTTAAGGAAACTCTCGTGATTTTGCTATTTTGCCGAATGAAATCTTTCACTTGATTTTTTTAGATGTCTAAACGATAATCTAGGCTGATTGATTCATTTTGATTTTTTTTTTATATAAATGCATAAACATGTCTCTTCAATGCATTTAGTCTCAAAATGACGTCGACTAAAACGTACTTTTAATGGGTTTTTTTCCCAAACCTATTCATATGATAATTCCACAAAAAAATCATTAAGTTTAGAGATATTTTAATTGTGTACCTAATTAGGGCCGTGATGGAAATTCGGACCGTTATCGACATGATATAGGTCATGACGAATCGAAAGATATCAATTATAAAACAATTGATGCGACGCTTGGATAAGTTTAAATCCTGAATCAAGAATGTATCCCTTAAAAGGGACTAATACAAATATCCTAGTATAGTTCATGCTTGTTAGAACAGATGCTTAAAATAATAAGACAAATGTTAAAAAAACTCACTTTCAATTGATCACACATGATTTGGTTAGTGCTATAATGCTGATAAATTGAAGTATTCTTTAATATAATCTGTATAATATGAGGTGCTACCACGACTTCATTGTCGTTAATTATTTAAAAAAAAATTACCATCTTTTATATGGGTGGAAAGTAAAGTGATGTTCAAGACAGTTTTCTACTGTTTCGTAATTGTTATATTTGTTTTAATGAATTGTTGGCAATGTATGAAAGGTGAATTAATCTTGCAATGTAACAC